TGTCTGAAGCAGAACTCCCATAAATTTCCATGAGTTCGTTGGTTTCGCATAAAATGAACCCCTACTCAAAAAGAGGGGCCAATTGATTTTGACTTTTTTTTTAATTCAAAGATCAACTTAGAAGGAAGCTTTTGAGTTCTGTCCTGGTCTTGCTTTTGCGTAGTTCAATTGATAAGAACTTACACGACAAGTGTTTTTCTCATTTTTATCAGAAAATTCTTCTTTGCTTATTAGATACATTATAAGTAGAGTCCAACTGAAGATATTTCAACTTTGTAAACGTCCTAGCATACCAAATTCACTAATTGGTCCCCAAAACTTATCGTGTACACCAAAATACCAGAACAGATAATGTAAGGTTACTGTGAAGTGGAAAAAATGTGAACTATCGATTTCCGGAGTATTGTGGCATCTTGATTGTATTTTGTTTCCAGTTGCTTCATCTGAGATGAACTAAAACCCAAATGTAACGCGCCCGACTCCCATAAGCTTCTGACGAGTTTGAGTTATTGAAGTTTACGTGCCAAATTTAGTCGTTAGCCTCAATTCTCCTTGCGAGCATCCAAAAGTTGTGGAGATCTGCGCTTTGTGTTACAGTTTCGTGTTGACTTCCCTATTTGGCTCTGAAATATCCTTTTATATTGATAAAATCAATACATCCTTCACCAGTAGAAAAAAAAATTATTTTGTATTAGTGAAAAATAATTAGGCTGCCCTACTGCTCCAGCAATAGACACTGTGCTCCTTCCTGTTACGGCATTTTGGGACTGTGTAAATTTGGGGAGCCAAATAGTGTATTTGGAGTGCAAGGAGGTTCACGAAGTTCCAATTATCTTCAGTTTGACTGAAGTTATAATCAAATTGATGGGTAAGGAAACATTTTTTGGTAAATATGAGAAAAACACTTAACGTAATATAGCTCATATCAAAGCAAGACCAGGACATGGGACGAAACTCAAAAGCTTCCTCCTAAGTTTATCTAAGAGAAAAATAAATTCAAAATAAATTGCCGCGTCTCTTAAGTAAAACAACTTTCACCTATCAAGCTTAAGCAAAGGGTCTAAATTGCTACATTCTTCTATAAAGATGAAAATGTTGCAATAATACAACTAAATACCTCTCCATTTCATTAGGGACGTGCCAATAGTTCGGTGTCTATTTTGACACCGTCCCCGAATCGAATCAGCCCTGATTCGATTCGGAAAGTCACGCGCTCAGCGTAGTTTTTATACCAAAGCAAGATCAGGTTTTTAATTTTTCTTCTTTTTGTATTCATTCTCTATGCCCTTCCTTTATTACAGAAAATGTGTTTTGAAACGCACTAATTTTTTCTAGTTTCAGTTCGAATTCGATTCTATTCTGAATCTTTTTCAGTTCAATTCGATTCGACAATTTTTTCAGATTCGATTCGATTCCAAACCTATTTCGAAAGATTCGATTCGAAATGAAAATCCTTGATCCGCACATCCCTATATTAATAGGCCAAAATTTCTGTACGCTACCTTTTCACTTAACAGACTTTTCACATGGAGCACGTCAGTGTAGGGTACACTCTAAATGTCTTACAATGAAATTTGACCTATGTTATTCGTATGTTACAGTGAATTCGGCGCAAGCATAATACGAAGCAATATTCCTTCGTAATACGAATCTTTTTAGCTTTTTCATTGTAAGATACAAAGAAACACCTTCGTAATACGAAGAAAAACCACCTTCGTATTATGCTTGCGCCATTTCCTTCGTAATATGGGAAATTTCTTCGTAAGACATTTAGAGTGTATCTTTAGAGGTGAGCAATGGGACAGGGCTTAAAATCATCAGGAAACATGAATAAAAACAGTGACAGGGGCTTAAGGAGTTGTTAAAGATTGGAACCTATCCATTTAAAAAGAATTAAAACAACAAACTTGTCTACTGAATGTCTTCAACCGATGCCGGTATTCGGCAAAATGGACACATGTTCTTGTCACTCACACACCGCCGAAGGCATTCATTGTGTGCAATAGCCGTATTCGGACGACAGTTCTTTAAGATACCAGGTGGAGAATGTTCATCAACTGCAAATTCACAATTCACATTGGGTGACTGCAATTGCTGATGTAGCGACAGTGTCGTCATCACTCTCCTCGATAGTGATGACCGCTGCTGCTTCTCCCTGGGTCTCGGGTGCTGGTTGGGCGACTTCCCCGGGAGTGTGGGTTCCTTGGCGCAGGCTCACCGCTGCTTCTTGCCGTGTCTCGGCTGCCAGTGGGACGACTTCCCCTGGGGTCTGGGCACCTCGGCGCAGGCTGAGGCCTCGGCGGGGAGTCTGCGCAGAAATGAACGGTCACAGAGCGAGTCGCTTTAGAGGCAGAACAAGCTGGGCCTGCCGGCGCACAGTGGGCCAGAAGACCGGTGGAGCGGCCAAAATTCTAGAAGCGTTTTGAGCTCCAGAGTCGCTAAATGGGACACAAACCGACCGTGTGACCCCACCAATGGATTCCTCTCTAGAAGGCTAGGACTGCGTTGACAATAAGAAAATGCACATGGAGGATGGAAAGAGATGCCTACCCTACCAGTGGAGCGGCCAAAATTCTAGACGCGTTTTGAGCTTCAGAGTCGCTAATTAGGACTCGAACCGAACGTGTGACCCCACCAATAGATTGCTCTCCGAAAGAGGTCAAAACTGTTTTGACCTCCAAATGTGCCGAGCCAGGTGGCAGCCCCAAAAAGGTGGAAAAGCAGAAGTGTCTCAAGTTACCCGCTTGCTGCCTCCAGTTACCGGTTTGCGGTACAATGGCATCATTCAAGATCCGGAATGGGAAGGGGAACCACATCCATTAAGAGCGACCACCCCTTTTCAATTATACTAAGTCACTCCCTCACTGTTAAAAAAAATCTGAAAATTCAGACCACTTTTGTCAGACTTGGTGGTCTGAATCTATTTTTCAGATTTGTTTCAGACTGCTTGTCTGAAAATTTAGCCTTTCGGTATGAAAATTGCGACCTGACCGTCTCAGAACTTAAATTCAGACCAGTGCAGTCTGAAAATTAAGATGATTAAGTCTGAAAATTCAGACCAACCCAAGATTTTGTTTGTACGCTAGATGGCGCGCATGTTGTAAAACATACCTACTTCTGTTTAAAAGGCTTATAATGTAAAAATATAAAAGTTGAAATGTTCCAAATTGACAAGACTTAATCGGCCATGTGAGAACCATTCTCTGCTGCAAGATTTATCTCCGTAATGTGGGTGGGATTTGAACAATCCACATTTTAATTTACCTCTCGCGGGCGGCTCCGTGTCGCCATTTCCTTGGGTGCCACAGGCCGGCCTCTCGAGGGTGAGGGAAAAGTCCAAAGGATATCACTGTTTAAAAAAATTACTGAAAATTCATAATTTTTTGTCAGAAGTCGATTTACTTACATTCAGTCTTAATTTTCATACCAAAACTTTCATACTTCGAGGTCTTAAACTTTCAGACGACGTTAGTCTGAATTTCCAGATCAATATGTTGTATGAAAAATGATACCAGTCGGTCTATTTTATCAGACTAAATTGTACGAAGAACAGTCGCACCAAGAAATTCCTCTCATATAGTGGAGCCCAAATCGGCTAACTTTTGCCATGAGTTTGTAGAAGACGCTCAGCGGATCGTCTCGATGCCAAAATTAGGTAGACGGTAGCAGCCATCTCCTTCCCGAGGTAGTGAAGAGTCTAAGGGAGACTGCTGAAGTCCGAGGGTGAGCGGCCTTGGCCCAACCACGCGTCGACCCGTGGCCATGCGCGAGAGGGAAATTGTATTCTCTGTTATTTAGCTTATATTGCACATATTAACATCAATCTTGCTTTGGTGCGCTCATGCCCTTTCAGACAATCATTTGGAATAAGTTTGTAACAAAATATTGACCCACTTCCTCCTTCAAGAGGCAATTTTAGCTCCGAAAGATCAACCATGCGACACTAGCGCCACCTAGCGGATAGAGCAATAAGTATCCATTTCGGAGCTCTGAAACATTCTTTTTGCTCCTACGACACGAAACGTAAATAGTATTTGAAATACAACAGCAGTATTGAAAATTTTTTTGAGAAAACCGAAAAATGTACAAAGTGGACGGCGTTTTTTCACCCGTTTTCCGACTTCACAAGAATGAATTTAGTTTTCGGACGACAATGTACAAAACTTGATAGCCATCGCTCTAAATATTCAGACTTGCTAGTCTAAATTCAAATTTCAGACAGCAAGTCAGACTTTTCGGACAGTTGGTCTTAATATTCGTACCATTTTATGAATTTACGATTCAGACCACCAAGTAAGACGAAATCAGTCTGAATTTTCATATTTTTTTTAACAGTGGCGCCTCAATACAATTTTTAATCAATGTTGTCCTCCCTGGAGGACCACACACAACTGAGACGGTTTCTATGATATATTTAACATGTGACGAACCTTAAAGTTCACAATCTCCATACAGGGCTGAATTTTCAGACCACCAACTCTTAAATGTAAGACTCTGTAGTTCTGAATATTCAGACCATCTAAATGGTCTGAATTTTCAGACCTCAAGTCTGTTAATAACTTCTGACCAAATTGGTCTGAATTTTCAGACTTTTTTTTAACAGTGCTCCCCGGGTCTACAGCGCGAAAGACGTTTCAAGCACAGTGCCCCTTTCTCCCTCTTTGATTTACTGGGCTTCAGCGTCTTTTGTATGTATCTAGGATCAACTAGCGGTATTGTTAGTTATTTTAACTCACAAAACATCCCATAAACAATTTTTAAATAAAATATTCGGATTAAACGGTCCTTAACGGGACGCGGGACGAGTTGGTCGGGCGAGCTGTCCTGCTCCCACGACAACGACACAGACACAAAGGCAAACGCATAGGCCCTCCCCCAATTTATTGGGAAAAAACTGCACTGCTGTCGTCACGAGCGACCTAACGTGATTCGCTTCACAATTTCCGCTGCAGGGTCCGTGAAGTGGGAGCGTGACCAACGCGACGGCAGTCTGACTGCCCACACGCCTCTGCATCGCATGGAGCGCCATGTCGCTTTTCCGACTGTTGCTGGTCGGGACACTTGTGCCGACGCTGAATTTAGTCAACCAAGCTCGAAGCAAAAGCATCAACACTTTTGCTGTGCGTACCCCGGGTGATTCTGGTAACAGTGGTTTACTAAAGCCGAGGGGTGAATCACAAGTGTGCTCATGTGTACAAATTTGCCCGTACTCAGTGTACTCACAAGTTGAAAAAGGGCGGAATTCAATAGTTTTTCGACCGATTTGGCGTTGAGTGTCGTTTGAAACGCTATATAAAGCCTTAATATGTTTACAAATGTGAAATTTATGAGCAATGCAAGGTGTACTCACCCGTACTCATGTGTACACCAGAACGCCGAGTAATTCACCCCCCGACTTAAGTACATCAGAGAACACTGTGAGAAAGGGGTACGGTTGTCGCCCGTACATTTAGTATCAGGGTTTGTCGCACTTGGAAGTACGGCGTTCACTACAAAATCCAAAGGTCAGACTTCTCGCCCCTCCAGAGGCAAGACATTAAGTCTCGCCAAGTTTTGGTCAGACCTGAAAGTCTCGCCAAAATTTGGTCAGACAAGAAGAAAGTCTTGGCACAAAACGAGCAGACACAAAAGTCTCACCACCAAATGGCGAGACTTTTGTGTCTGACCGCCATCTTAAGGCCGTAATGCTTCGGACGGTTACGGCCTTAAGGCCGTGGTCAGGCACAAAAGTCTCACCACAAGATTGCGAGACTTTTGGGTCTGACCCCTTTGTGGCAAGATTTTTTTGTCTGACCAAAGTCATTCCATCCAAATTGTAGTGTGTACGGTTGGGTCAGGGCGGGGAAGAACTGGACACCCCATATTGTACTTCAAATACCGTAGGCACAGGAATAACAACTATCAAAAGTTGTTCCGTGGCATCAGCGGTTCATTACACGACAGTTGTCAGGCCAGTACATACGGCATTTGAAGTAAAATGTGGGGTGTCCAGTTATTCCCCTGTCCAGTTTTTCCCCGCCCTGACCCTACCTGGAAGTGTGGCGCTTCCTGTAGTTTGTGCACAAGATGTGGCCATGGATTCCGTCCCAAGGAGTTTGAGTGAGTTATTCTGACCTGGGGGAGGGGGGCGCATGATATCAGTACAAAAGACAGCGTTACCACCCTGTGGGTGAAACACCCTTTGAAGAAATGTCTGTTTCCAGTGGAGGAAACAAACAAGTTGGAAATTAACGAAAACCATTCCGGAAAAAATGTTGCCGAAGGTTCCTTTGTAAATTCATTTAAGACCTTCACATCTTCGTGAATTGCGACAAATGTTCGTGGATTTACGAAGAATCTTTGTGAATCACCGAGAACCTTCGTAAATTACGAGACTTATCAAGACCAACAATTGCCGTGATTTTACGCAGGTACCTTCCCCGACATTTTTGCCTGAGGTGCCTTCGTCAATTCCGAAGATTAAATTTTTTTAAGTGTAGGGCCCGTATATTGCGATCATCCATAAACTCGACTCATGCCCATCGGACGGAACCTTACAATTGAACACCCGCGTCAGCCACTTCAACCCATCTAGGCCCTACGATCTGCCCATCTTCACGGGAAACGCAACACTTAAAGAAGACCTGAGGGACAATTATTGGGTAGAGTATGAAGTCGTTTGCCTCCTTTCTGCACACGGAGCCCGGATTTGTAATGTGCCATTCAAGCCTGCACCCCTTTCGCACTGTTTCTTCGCGCATTTTTTCACAGTGAGACGCACCGAAGCTTTTCATGTAAAAGTCAGCGGTACTATTCGTTCCGCGGCAATTTTTTTTCCTGTTTTACAAGGACTGGTCAGAGCTAAGGGTCTTGGGCCCTGGTCCATAGGGGGCTCTCTCTGACCAATGAAGGACGAGAAAACGCGGCCTAGTTTGGCTGCGGACCAGGGATCCAACTGACACTGCTTTTATAACGTTATATAAGAGGACAATGTTCGCTAAAGGTTAAAGACTACGGACTTTGGCAAATACTCTCAAAAGTATCTCCACACAAATTCGAGACGTGAATAACAACCGATCCTTTTGAAAAGAAGTCAGAAATTAAGGGTTATAACGTAGCCAGAGCGTCTCCCTAAAGACCGGTTCTTGTAAAACATGGCACACTCTCAGACTCGTATTGACTTTTTATCTTTTGCCATAAAGGTTTTTGTGCAAACGTAATATGTACTATTTTCTCTTTGGCTATTCACTATTTTGTTCGTTGTATAATGTTTATAGTCCATTAAACCGGGCTTAATGTCATTTGCAATGTACTTTTCAATTTCTATATGCTCTATTGACAATTATATCCCTAAAACGACCAAAATTGTGCATAGTTAAGAAGAAAATAGGACATTTTACGTTTGCTCAAAAACCGCTATAAGCAAGAGAGAAAAAAGTCCATATAGGTCTTAGCGTGCAAAGTTTCTACCGTGTGCAGCATGTCACTGTGCCAAACCTCACATTGAGAAAGACATGTTATCACGTTGCAGTCACGTGCTGATCTGGCCGTGCGATCAAACAACCAATGGAAAGAGAACGCCTTCATCTTCAACTTCCCAAAGCAGGGATGCACTGCGATTCGCGAACAAGTTCCCGACTTCTTCCGCGTCCTAGCGAAGCTCAGCGGGGCGTCTACGGACAAGGGGACTCCCTGTGTCGTTCCAGCGGTACGTGTGTGCGGCATTTTCTTTCCGCAGCGTTTGCAGAGCCGCACTTCACGTCACGAGGCACAGTGGGCCAGAAGACCGGTGGAGGCGGACAAAAATCCAGACGCGTTTTGAGCTCCAGAGTAGCTAAATGGAACCCGAACTGTACGTGTGACCCCACCAATGGATTGCTCTCCGAACAAGGAATCCATTGGTGGGGTCGCACGTTCGGTTCGAGTCCCATTTAGCGACTCTGGAGCTCAAAACGCGTCTAGAGTTTTGGCCGCCTCCACCGGTCTTCTGGCCCACTGTGCGAGGGCGGGGTGAAAACACTCTTCATCTCCCTCATTCCAGGAGCGTGGCATCGCGTTGACGAAGGGTCACGTTTATTTGAGCTCCTTGACCCATTCGTTTCGATGTGAATTAGTCGTGAAGTAACTTATTCACATTCGAACGAATGGGCACTCTAAATGTCTTACAATGAAATTTGACTTATGTTATTCGTATGTTACAATATGTATTCAGCGCAAGCATAATTCAAAGAAATATTTCTTCGTAATACTATTTTTTCATTTTTTTTAGATTTTTTATTGAAAGATACAAAGAAAAACCTTTTGTAATACGTTTTTCATCGGCACCGGCGACTCTTTGCCGGCACGAAAACAGAACAGCACATGGTGGTAGACAAAAGCTCCGGTAGTGCTCCGAGCTCGGGAGGGTCATAAAACAGCATTGTGGCTCGAGCTCGCCCCCCTTGCGTAAGCGGGGACCGTCGCACCACACTCCACCAAAAATGTCCTGTCAATGCCGTTAATAATTTATTACCAGTTTTCACTGTAGAACGAAGGCGCCGCTGGCTTAAATGTTGCCTCAGGTCGCTTTGTAAATTAACAAAGGCTATTCGCAAAACGCGAAAAATCTAAGCAATCTTCGACGAGTGTTCGTAGAATTAAGAAAAATGCCCGAGAATCTTCGTAACTTACGAAGAATCTTCGAATTTAATAAGGGTGGGGATACCATTGAGATTCTACTGGTGCCTACAGTGTGTTACGAACAGTCAAGCCGTTGTTTGACGAGACACTTGTGTGGCATTCGTACATAACAGCGTATGTACCGTTGGATTCCACATGAAGATACGTTGTTTTGCCAGACTCGCTTTGCCCGTGCCCTTGAAACGGCACACAGTTACGCCAGTCCATTTTCATCGCAGCCCACAAGTACAATGTAGCCGCTTGGCATTAGGTTTGACAGCCACAATCTTCATTATTTCTTCCAGTGCAGGAGGAGTAGTGCACACACTCACACGCGCGCGCAGACAGTAAAAGTTTTTTAACCCCACTGGAGTAACGGGCTTCGCTATCGCTCAGCCAGCAAGGTCAGGTCATTGTTTTATACTCCAAGTGTTTTATTTTTCCTTTTCAGGGGGTTTACCTTTTAAAGAATGAAATGGTGAACCTGACGTTTCCAAACTTCCCGGTTATACCTTACGCGCGCTACCGGTTCAAGGTGACGGCAAGCCACTCCAGGAATTTCGACACTCCGCTGCTTTGCCTCGCAGTCGACTGCGAGGCAATCCCAAAACCGTAGACTGCAATCCTGTAGCTACAGGACTTAACAGCGTATCTGAGGGACGGTGCACTGCAAGAAAAAGTGTGGATAGTACAACAAAAGTACAACAAAAACTGTACAATAAAAGTACAACAGGGATTGTAGAAAGTACAACGAGAATTGTACAAACCACAACGAGCCCTGGACTGCACAGCACTCGTCATGCCGGGTCGATTGTACTTTGTACAACAATTGTTGTACTTGAAAAGTACTCTAAATTCCTGATAACATTGAAAAAAAAAAGTCTAGTAACGATAACCAGAATCCTGGTACCAAATACCAGACTGTCTGATAGAATATAACTCAACTAGAATTCTGGTAAAAAATACTAAACTGTCTAGTTGGCCTCAGTCTAGTAAACCGTACCAGATTTATAGTCATCCTCACAATGCCGCCAGGTCCCCTTCTGGTAGTTTTTACCAAACATCCTGGTTAGTTAATGTGCTTACAAAACTGAAGTAAGAAGTCCAAAATTTAATAAAATATTTTTTCGTAGTGTTGAAACCTGATGCGACGTCGATTTCGTTAACGAACAACCTCTGAATTGTTTTTTTTCCTCCTCCTCTCCTCCGGATTCGAACCGGGATCTCACACTTGTGAGACGGGCACGTTACCACTGCGCCACCACTGAAAAACCAAACGTGGTCCAGACCGCACCACTGGTGTGGTCAGATGGATGCCATTTTGACCACATCAGTTGGTGTGGTCTAGACCACGTTTGACGACGTATGGTGCGGTCTAGACCACGTTTGGCCACGTTTGGTGTGGTCTAGACCACACCAAACGCACCAAACCTGGTCTAGACTACACCAAACGCACCAAACCTGGTCTAGACCACACCAGCTGGTGCGGTCAAAATGGCATCCATTCGACCACACCAGTTGGTGCGGTCTAGACCACGTTTGGTTTATCAGTGACCACGTCGCCTGTGGGTCGAGGGGATCCCCACCAGGTGACTCTCTACGTGTCTGGCTCAGGCACTGTAAAAAATTCCGTACTTTTGTACGGAAATGGTACAGAAAAATATAGTACGGAGGTACGGAGAAAAGTACGGAACGTTCCGTACTTGCTCCATATGAACCCATGTAAATGGGTACGGAAAAAAGGTACGGAAAGTTCCATAGTTGGCAAGTACGGACGGTCCAGGCAAATTATTGACCAGACATGTTCCGTACTTTTTCCGTACTTTTTTCTCACAGTGGGGAAATACTCCCAGTGTTTGTTTCGGATTTAAGACTCTGAAAATAACGAAACCGGTTGCAGTTTACTTTTTGACACCCGAACATTTCAATTGAAACGAATATTTCGAAGTTTTACGTATGGTGCCAATTACGGAACAGTCTGGTAAAATTTACCAGGATTATTAACCAGACACCTGGTAAATGTCACAACACCCGATCTGGTTACTGCAACTGATCATCTGGTGAGAGTTACTAGGATTCTCGTATGAGTAACTAGTACTCGTTTAACTAGGATTGGTCTGGTACTTTTAACCAGACTTTTTTCTCAGTGAAAAATTTGCCAGAAATTTGTGTACTTTTGTTGTGGTTATTTCCTGTAGTGTGGGGCACCATGTGACAGGGCTACCATGTGACCTTGCCTTTCTCTCCCAAACGGCTTGCTACCCAACAGCGATAAGAAGACTCAAAGGAAGGTATCATGCAGGAGCATCGACGTGCAATAGGTCGTGACTCCCCTTCGAAACGGACGGGAATGTTAGCGATCAGAATTGGAAACCCTCTTAAAACAGCTCATTGGAAACTTTTTCTTTGTCACGCCGCGTCCGCTTTTTACCTCATAAATACATTTTAAGGACATATGCCTTGCAGGATGTTTATCTTTGATGATTCAAGCGCCAAATAAGCTTTGGCTGGGTTCTCTTCGGCATTTAATTTGAGCGTTATTGCTGTTTCCTTTTTAACTGCTCATCTGGGCACCATGTGACACTACCGTCATTCACTATGGGATTCCACGTTTGACTTAGTTGAATGAGTTAAGTCCATGAGATTGGTTCACTAATAACTAAAACCGTGCAAACAAATTTGTAATCCTTATTTGCACCAGTTGTGCAAATATACACTCCGAATTGATAAACTCCAATCCCTAATGTGTTTCACTCTAATCAATGCTCTATATACTTCAGCTTGTGTACTCAAGCCCTTGTCCTTCTCTATAACTTTGTCACTCCATCGCTTGTCAACATGCCAAGTACAGTACAGAGAGCAGTCAGCTTTGCCAAAATTATTCTTCCAAGCATTATAAAATTTACCAGCCATGTCAGACATTAAAACCTTCGTGCTGCTTGTTTTGCCCAGCGTGTCCTTTGCAATTTCGAAAAAGAGAGTCGTAGAATCAGTGCTAACAGTTGATGAAATGCATGTTCTGCAGAACAGTATAGGAACGCCTGAACCTGATGAATCAACTTTTGTCGGTATTGTCAATGGAAAATCATAATCATTTGTACCATGGGTACTGTCAATCAAAACTTTCTCATCAAGATGGTATTTCAACTCGGTCTGCTGGTAAGGCGTACATAAAACAATCATAAAGTCAGCAACATTTAGCTTACAACTGTCAAAAGAGCAGCTGCAGGGCTGACCTAGCATCTTAAAAACTTCACAGGGTTGTTGTCACCTCTCTTCTTCGAAGTCTCTTCTAAAATTTCTACTCTAACAGCATCATTGGCATGAGCATGAATTTGTTTGAATTCAACCTTTCTTAAAATATTCCACAGATCTCTCCTGTCCAATAAATGAAATCTTGAAAAGCTGTCCAATAAATGAAATCTTGAAAAGTTATCAGCAGTCTCCATCTCTAATATCATCTAGAATTTATGTCAAAAGATGCACCATTCTTCAAACGACCAGCAATAAAATTTCTTTCAGTTTCAGTTAATCTTAAAAAGTTAATATTACAGTCATGCATAAAATGCTCCTTACACCATTCCATATGAACAGTTTCATGGGAAACAGCCAAGGTAATAGTAGCAGGACAAACGGACCCAATTTTGGCAGTTTGTCTGCAGGTCTAAAACAGTGCATATATTTTCATCGCTTTCAAATGATGACAATCTCATCAGAAATTGATAACATGTGATCTAGGCTTGCTAGCCTCAGTCAATTTTCAATAAAATTGCAATAGAATCGACTACTGGGCGCACCGGCTGCTCCAGAAAAGTAGAGTGGTCGCGAGTGTGCTGTATGAGAAGCTCCATCGCATCGCATCGCATTGTGTTAGGGATCTTATGAGTTGAAATCGTTGAAAACGGGTATTATGTATTTGTTGTAATTTTGGGGACTGATATTAGTGTTTACGACTTGTTATTTCTTTACGAGAGTTTATTTATGTATTTTTTGCACAGCAGTCCACTTGCCAAGTGTGTTGCAGTTTTTTTTTGTATCTAAGTAAAAATAAAATTTGTATCGGAACTTTTGAGTTGCCTTGTTGTATGAGTGGCGCCCATAAAACAAAAAAAAAAACAAAAAAATTCACATAGAGAAGCTCCAGACAAAAAAAACCACTTGGTCGGCGACATCCTAGGAGCGGGCGCTTGTGGTGATTTATCGGTTCCTTGTATGTATACGAACTGCCGAAAAGACACTTGGACGAAATCCGACACCCCCTGTGGCTTTGGTACAGGTCTAAACACCCCAAAAACAGCTGTTTTCGAGGGTTTGGGACAAGATGGGTTCTCGCAAACCGAGATCCAAAAAAGTACCCAAATGGGTCTCAGATACTCGAAAAAATGCGCTCTTTCGAATGCCGTGTCGAACGAGGCTCTACGACGTCGGGTTTGGATGCTACGGGCTCTCAAAGTTGCTCAATTTCACTATTTTTACTGAAGATTTGAGCATATCAGGGCCGTTTGAAGTAGACCATCGGCGATTTCGCTCCTCTTTGTCTTAAATGGTGCCTACCCATGGGTAAACACCCCCACAAAATTTGAGCCATGTCAGGCAATTATTAGAGGAACTGTGAACAATATAAGTTTTTGGTTATTTTACCACTGGGCTTAGGTGGTTTTGGGTCCAGAAAAAATAATTTTTTTAGGTATCTACTTTTGATCAGCACCTCTTGAAACGCCTTTTTAACATGGTGCCTCAAAACCTTTTTTCGAGGACAAACTTGTCTTTTTCTCCAAGTTATGTTCCAATTCCAGCAGCTAGCTGTAATTGGAACATAACTTGGAGAAAAAGACAAGTTTGTCCTCGAAAAAAGGTTTTGAGGCACCATGTTAAAAAGGCGTTTCAAGAGGTGCTGATCAAAAGTAGATACCTAAAAAAATTATTTTTTCTGGACCCAAAACCACCTAAGCCCAGTGGTAAAATAACCAAAAACTTATATTGTTCACAGTTCCTCTAATAATTGCCTGACATGGCTCAAATTTTGTGGGGGTGTTTACCCATGGGTAGGCACCATTTAAGACAAAGAGGAGCGAAATCGCCGATGGTCTACTTCAAACGGCCCTGATATGCTCAAATCTTCAGTAAAAATAGTGAAATTGAGCAACTTTGAGAGCCCGTAGCATCCAAACCCGACGTCGTAGAGCCTCGTTCGACACGGCATTCGAAAGAGCGCATTTTTTCGAGTATCTGAGACCCATTTGGGTACTTTTTTGGATCTCGGTTTGCGAGAACCCATCTTGTCCCAAACCCTCGAAAACAGCTGTTTTTGGGGTGTTTAGACCTGTACCAAAGCCACAGGGGGTGTCGGATTTCGTCCAAGTGTCTTTTCGGCAGTTCGTATACATACAAGGAACCGATAAATCACCACAAGCGCCCGCTCCTAGGATGTCGCCGACCAAGTGGTTTTTTTTGTCTGGAGCTTCTCTATGTGAATTTTTTTTTTTTTTTTTGTTTTATGGGCGCCACTCATACAACAAGGCAACTCAAAAGTTCCGATACAAATTTTATTTTTACTTAGATACAAAAAAAAACTGCAACACACTTGGCAAGTGGACTGCTGTGCAAAAAATACATAAATAAACTCTCGTAAAGAAATAACAAGTCGTAAACACTAATATCAGTCCCCAAAATTACAACAAATACATAATACCCGTTTTCAACGATTTCAACTCATAAGATCCCTAACACAATGCGATGACTTTAAATAAAACTACTCAAGGAATACACTATTTGAATCATCTATACCCGAGTCACAATAATTTTACATCAATGGTACACTGTAATTGTTATGTTCAGATCCTTGAAATCTTCCCGTATCATCTGTCGAACGGCGGTTGGCCAATATAACTTATCCCTACAGCAGCTGATGGGCGGAATGGATAGATGGGGGGGGGGGGGGGGGGGTGAGGATGGTCGAGAGATCGAATTCGGACGGCTGCTGCCCTCTACATTTCGTTCCTGACATTGCGGCGTCAGCTTCGCGCCCTGTCGTAGGTTCACCGGCAAGCTCAATTAAGACACTACCATGCGAACCTCAAACCGACTTCTCGTTCGGAGGCTCGGCGCCTGCATCACGCTTTACCCCAAGAATCCCTGACACGCCCAGCTAAGGGAACCCCAGAGATCCTTCTGTCCCGAGAAAATACGCCCTGGTACTTTGCAACCCCGCCCGCCGTCCCCTTGGCGCGCCTCGAGGGTAGGCAACCCAACTCTCGTCGGACCACTCGGCTGCCTACTCTGCAAACTGAAGTGTGTACATGGTACACTCTTATTAGAGCATGCTTCCAAGTGTGTACCTTCCATGTACACGCTAAAATACACTCGATAAGTCCTATCTAAAAGCATGGGCCAGTTTAAGTGTACTTGCCAGGTATACTCTTAGCGTGTACATGCAATGTACACTCTATTTTAGTGTGTGCCTAGCAAGTATGCTGTAAATAAGTGTGTACTTGGAAGTATGCTCTAATAAGAGTGTACTATGTACACACTTCAGTTTGCAGAGTACCTCCCGGGCGCTCCACTCAGAAACGTTACAAACATTTTTCTCAAAGCTCCTACACGTATTGCATCTGCGTGACAATGTCATCATTTGTTTTGATGACGTATTGCTATAAGGATAATTAGCCTTGTTGACATTGTCATTAAGTGACAACTCAAATTTTCACTGTGCATGAGACCAATGCTACGAATCCCATCCATAAGTACTCATGTGAAGCAAATTGTTATTCTGACATATTTCCGCTGAGACATGTAATTTATGCCAATCAGATGCTGAGTGAATCCCAACGTGAAGGGACCTATGATCAAAGCCACGTCAGTCATCTGCACATGTGCTACGGACCAAAGGGAAAAAATACAGTGCTAGGTATCATTCTCTTTATTTACGTTTGCTTGTGACAAAGATAACAATGAAAAAAAAAAGATCTTTTCAGCTCACATGTACCAGTACAGTCAAAAACCTGGAAAGAATGAAATAATTATTAATATGAAAGCATCAGCAGAAATAATTGTTAATATGAAAGCAGTAGCACTGAAGAAAATTTATAGCCAGTGCCTTCCCAATACATTCAGAACATTTTTGACCCAGAAGGAACGCAAACTTAACCAAGTCTAAAGGCATTTTACCGCACAGGTTTTGGAAAACTACGTACGCAGTTTAGCTGACTGGAGTGTTGGCGGCTGCATGAGGTTCTCCGTGCTGTAGAAGGGGACATACTTGGTCTCCATGTGGATACGCAGGCTGTTCGCGCAGATGAGACAGTAGAGGACATAACCTGGTAGACGGAAATTTCAGTCAGAAAAGGTTTTCTTGTATTAGAGGGGTAACAAGAGCTTCGGTCAACAAAAACTAATTCAACTAGAAACCGGTGGGGAAGGTACATTTTTCAAGCAGTTTTTCCGTCCGATATTAAACCTTTAGGTTCATTTTATGGGCAAATTTATTCTTTTTTTTTAAGGTGCACCTCAACGATTGGATTAAAGTTAAAACCTACGACTGCAAATAATTTTTTGGTTGTAAAACCTTTATTTCTTAACATGATGCACCCCGTTTGCCTCTAGCATAGACCTACAAGCCAATCTTTCCATTGAAGTCCAAACAGAAAATTCGAAAATCATGCAAAACCGTGCTCTAAGTGCGACTGCCTCCTCAAAAGACCCTCTCTTCAATCAGGAAAAATAGTATTTGTTGAATCAAGAATTTACTTTTAGGTTTTTTCGTTGTTTTTTTTTTGTTTTTTTTTTAGTGTACTGACCCAGGTAAGCGAAGCCGGCCAAGGCCATGGGCGTGATCATGACTGCCACGAGGACCACAGCGATGGTGCCCAGGACGAGCTTGACCCACAGTATACGGACGAAGTGCACCATCTTGGCAGGTTCATTCTGTAAAGGAAACAAAATGATTAGTTGGTGCAACAGAGTTAAACCGCACTCAAAATTAATGCTTGGGTTCACGAAAAGAACACGAATCGGAAAGTGGTCTGGACTTTTGGCATCCGACCCCAGTGTGAAATGAAGTACGAAAAAGCCGAAAAAGAAATTCCCCTTGAAATAACATCGAAATTAGGTTAAAATGTCGAGAAATAATATTAAAATAACCCTGAAATCACAACGTCGAAGTAACGAGAAATAACTTAAGGGGGCTCATACGTTTTGAAATGGTCAAAATATCGGTTTTCTTGTTACGATGCCTTGAGAAAAAGCACTCTTTTCCGCGTCTTTTAAGCCTAAGGAGAGGTCCAAATTCGTAAAACTCGCGCCACAGGAGCTCGCGCAGCATTGTTCTGCACTGTCCCCCGACACGTATCCAGCGACCCCCGGGGGTGGAGGCGTGACCTTTGACCCCTGTTTTCTCAGCTCGCCTTTTATTGACCTTGCTCGTAAGATAACTATTGACTCGCTTTGGTTTGAGGTCTGAAATTTTAACTGAGTGTTCGCAACATCAGTAAGCATAGAATTGACTACAATGAGGAGGATTGGACAAGATTTAGTTGATGAAAAAAAAATTTCAATTAATAAATTTGATACATTTTAGTAAAAAAATGAAGATTATTTTTTTCTCCCAAACTACTGAACTTAGAAACACAATTGTAGTCAATTATATAGCGGGCATAGAAAGGAGTCTCCAGTAATTTTTTTTTCAAATCGAACCAGAATTGCGGTCTGAATCTTACGAGAATGAAAATTTTAGACTTTATCATAAAATCTACAAAAATGGTCCAATCTCAAACTTTTTTTTTTTTGAAATGTTCATTTTTCTATTTTTTACTAGGATTTTTACCCAGAAACTCAAAAAATTTTGTCCCAAAATATTTAACACTAAGAAAACCGAAGTCATGTTTAAAACGTATGAGCCCCCTTAAATTTTAAAAGACAGTGTAATTTTTTTTTTTCGGAGTTATTTGGCCCTTGGAAGAAGTTCATACTTAAAATGCGGAGGTAAGGAATCTGCTTCGAGTGTGGAGTTTGCACTTCGCAGTCTCCTCACTTCAAGTAAGTACACTGGTAAAACTAAAGCGTAACTTTACTCTGCAAACTCAAGTGCGTGCCAGGCACACACTTCCTGGTGCATGCCTGGCAGGCACACACTTCTTTTCTGCATGCCTGGCAGGCACACACTTGCTTTTATGCATGCATAAGCGACGGCAAGTGTGTGCCTGAGGCATGCACCAGGAAGTGTGTGCCTGCCAGGCATGCAGAAAAGAAGCGTGTGCCTGCCAGGCATGCACCAGGAAGTGTCTGCCTGGCACACACTTGAGTTTGCAGAGTATGCTTGAGTGAAGCATTAAATTACGCTTGAAGGAAGACGTTACGCTTGAAATGAAGCATACTCTAAAAATTCCCCCATGCATTTAAATAGTGGGAATCTTGGATAAAGAGTCTGTTACGCATGATGTCAAGCGTAAACTGATTACGCTTGAAAACAAGGTAATACGATGCTCTAGTTTTTCCAGTGTATCTCTCAATACGTTTGAGCCATGTCAAGAGATAGGGGCTCTGTGAGCTAAGCCTCACTTGATGTGTGTACCGAAAATCCAAACACTATGAGAATAGCATCAATTGGTACAATACGTTAGAACCAGTTTCCATATGTACTTTGCGCGAGGATAAATTCACTCTGGTGTTGCACCTTCGTCCGATGCGTTCCGAATAATACCATTCGTCCAACGGTTTCAGCGTTTGGAGTCTACACTGTTAAAAAAATTTACTGAAAATTCATAATTTTTTGTAAGAAGTCGATTTACTTACATTCAGTCTGAATTTTCATACCAAAACTTTCATACTTCGCGGTCTGAAAGTTTCAGACGACGTTAGTCTGAATTTTCAGATCAACATGTTGTATGAAAAATGATACCAGTCGGTCTATTTTATCAGACTAAGTTGTACGAAGACATTGAACAGTCGCACTAAAAATGCCACTCTGTACAGTAGAACACAAATCGGCGAACTTTTGCCATCGGTTTATCGTAGACGCTCAGCGGATCGTCTCGGCTCAAAAATTAGGTCCACGGCAGTAGACTCCTACTTGCAAAGGTAGTGAAGAGGCTAGAGGTGACTGCTGAATTGCGAGGGAGAGCGGCCTTAGCCCAACCACGCGCCGACCCGTGGCCATGCGCGAGAGTGAAATTGTATTCTTTGTTATTTAGCTTATACTGCACTTATTAACCTGAATCTTGCTTTGGTGCGCTCATGCCCTTTCAGACAATCACTCGTAATAAGTTTGTAACAAAATATTCGCAATTTCGCCTTCAAGTGGCAATTTTAGCTCCAAAAGATCATCCATGCGACACTAGCGCCACCTGGCGGATAAAGCAATAAGTGTCCATTTCGGAGCTCTGAAACATTCTCTATGCTTTTACGACACTAAACGTAAATATTATTTGAAATACAACAGTAGTATTGATAAAAATTCTGAGAAAATCGAAAAATGTACAAAGGGGACGGGGTTTTTTCACTCGTTTTCCGATTTCACAAGTATGAATTTAGTTTTCGGACGACAATGTACAAAACTTGATAGCCATCGCTCTAAATATTCAGACTTGCAAGTCTAAATTCAAATTTGAGACAACAGGTCATACTTTTCAGACAGTTGGTCTTAATATTCGTACCATTTTATGAATTTAAGATTCACACCACCAAGTAAGACGAAATCAGTCTGAATTTTCATATTTTTTTTAACAGTGTAAGTGTGGACACTGCAAACTACGCGAATCCAGACAATAGGATACTTTCGTAGATCCCTGAACCGGAAGCACACAGACGCCATGTTGGCGGAAGTAGATCCAAACTTGACATGGGAAAGAGACGTTCGTCAAAGGCATCGGCCACACTTGAACATAAACAGTCGTTTGATACTTGTTTGCAGTGCATATGTGTTTCGCGAGCAATATTTGTACAGCTCGGCTATAGTTTTAGATCCGAAGAGAGGTTAGTTTCCGGCCAATTTGGCGTCTGCTGGTCTGCTTGCTTCCGGTTCAGGATCTACGAAAGTACCCTATAGACCATTCTAGTCGTTGTCAAGTGAAAAACAAGAAGAATCACTTAAGACTCATTTAGGGCATTTAGAGTGCATATATTCGCGGAAAATATGTTGTATTTACAATAAAATACTCTCACTAACTTCTACCAAGCAAAGGGTCGTTAACATTTAAAACAAAAGTGCTACAAGGTAGGTGTACGCCAGACCGTGTCTTGTCGTAACAGGCTTCGCGATGTTGCGCCAGTTTCGACCATCCACGCCTGGCGTACCTACCTTGGCCTGCGGCGCTAACCTGCCTCCGGCAGGCTGCTTTTCTAGGCAGGCCGTGGAAATGGGCGTGATCCCCTCAAAAATAACATTTGGTCATCAAAATCTACACCAATCGGATTCAACTTTCGGTCGGGGGTCCGAACGGGTTCTATTTTCGTCATCAGCAGCCTCAAAAACATATGAAACGATATGAAACTTGACACAAAGTTGAAAGTACCCAAAAAGTTGTCTTTTTTCTGCCGTTTTTTAAGTGTTTATTGGCTAATATGACCGAATGGATTGAGATAGAAAGCTGAATTTTGGTGTGTGGCGAGCCAAGGATATATCTAATGACCCTGCAAAATCTCAGCCAGATCGGCCGAGCCGTTCAGGAGGAGTAGTGCACACACACACACACACACGCAGACAGACAGACAGACAGACAGACAGACAAAACTTTTCAACCCCACTGGAGTAACGGGCTTCGCTATCGCTCAGCCAAAAAAGTTGTCTTTTGTGATTCTTCTCGGCCACGACTAGAATGGTCTATTACTCCACACCAGGTCGCCGCACAGAATCGAAACGTACCTTGTAGATGCCCTTGAGGAACAGGGCGGCGGTGGCGAGGAAAGCAGACACCACGACCAGGTCGATGGCGATGGAGCCACGGGCGAAGATGGTGGCTATCTCGAAATCGGGCATATCCTCTTCCTTTTGCACGTCCTCGCTCATGAAGCATGTCACGTTGGGCCCGTTCCTTTCAAGGACCCACTGGAAAACAGAATAAAACCTAAGAATCATGCATGAACTATAGAACTTTCGCTAGAGATGCAAAGTTTCCGGAAAAATGTGTAGGCTTGGAAGAATACACGGAAAAGTTGGCAAAAATTGGAAATAATTCCAAGAAAACTAAAAAATTGGAAACTTTTACTATTTTGTCTAGAAATTGTTGTTGAAGTGTCAGGAATCGTGTGGGGCTTTCGCTGTCTTAATACATAAAAGAAGCATTTTAAACCAAGATTGGCGTCAATCGGACGTCACGGAGCGGAGCAGCAACAAATCAAAGTTTTGTTAAAAATCTAACGTGGAAATTGCACAGTGACAGTGTGACAGTTGACATTTTCATTAATATTCATCGTGTGTTCACTCAGTTAAGAATCTGAACAGTTTGGCAAGGCGGAGTTGATAGTGAAGACTTTGAAACAAATAGAATTGTTAATCTGCGAATGTGCACAATCATTAGTTAGCGCCAAAATGTGAGGAATTAAAGTGCCTGGCATGGATGAACTGCGGGAAAACCAGTGTCGGTTCACGGATGAATTATAGGTCATATTTTGTGACGTCACGTTCGTGACAGTGTTAATTTAGTCACTCGTTTGAATGAGACTGAGACGTTACTTTTATTGGAATGTTCATCCACGTTCAAAGACGATAAGACGGCCGTGTCACTTTCAAACGCGTGCACTGCAAATCCAAACGTGGAACAGATTGTCCCACGTTATCTAGTGCATGCCTGTCCCATGTGTCTACCGGTCCACCGTCTCCACAGCGGTGCTTTGCAGGTCGAATGTGTTGCCTACCTCATAGGCGCTACACCCGCCGAACCCAGCGGCGCCAGAAGACCGGTGGTGGCGGCCCAAACTCCAGACGCTTTTTGGGCTCGAGAATCGCTTAACAGGGTTAGCCCCGAACGTTGTGACCCCACCAATGAATTCCTCGTCCGGAGAGCAATCCATTGCTGAGGTCGTGCGTTCGGTTTGAGTCCTTATTTGGCGACTCTGGAACCCAAAACGCGTCTAGAATGTTGGCCGCCTCCACCGGTCTTCTGGCCAACTGTGCAGCAGTCCATTCGCGTTTGACCAGCAATCTACTTATTCTTATAAAGATTACTAGTGTACAGACCTTTGCCACCTGGTTGCACGCGTTGGAGAGGATGAATAGGTTCCATAAGCTCCAGAGTATGGAGGTTGTAGAGCCAATCTGAAATTTGAAAAGGAACACATAAGACTACATACTACAAACCTAACTGTCCACTAAGTACACACTTACAAATGCATGCTTGCAAGAACATACACACACACACACACACACACACACACACACACATAAACGCATGCCTGACGCTGTATAACTCCATGCGTCAAGCATGCGTTTGTAAGTGTGTACTTGCAAGCATGCATTTGTAAGTGTGTACTTAGTAGACGGTTAGGTTTGCAGTGCATACTTTTAGTACCGCCCTTTTGAAGGCAAGATTTTGCGGTAAGGCCGTTTGTTGGCGATACTAAACTGTATTACCAAATAAGATGCTGAAGTAACGCCTTTTCATTTGCAGTACAGTTAGTACACACTAAGGTAGTATGTAAGTAACATTACCGCAACAGTCGAATACTCACAACAACCAGCCATCCCTGGAACAAGCAGCATGTCTTCAAATCGCAGCAGCACCCCCGCTCCACTACGGGCAGGCAGGACCCATTACGGCGTTTCGGCTCCATCGCGGAAGTCCTGAAATCCAAGAAGTATAATGCCATCAAAGGTAAAACAAAAAAAATGTTACAGCTGCACTGTTTAAACTCGTAGACTAAATAACAGACACGTTCTGGTTTTGTTTGTTTTTCAAGGTCAGACCCCAATAAAAAGAACCGTATGAATACTGCGGGGACAAGGCAAACTTGGGGCAAGATGTAAAAATACGAATTTTAAGCAACAGTTGCATTAAAGCTATTCTTTTATCTTTAATTTAGGGCGACTTGCATGAAGGTCTGCAAAATTACATGGTGCCACTAAGTGCCCGATTTCGACCAAAGTTTACGCTTATTTTTCAATCCGTAAAATGCATCTGAAAACACTTAAAAATGTCAAATATTAACACTAAAGGGTCATATCCCGTTGAAACTTTATTTCTAGTCGGGTTGTCTTTTGCACGCGCACTGTCTCCACCTCGTCGATGCACAGTGGGTCAGGAGAACGGAGTCAGCAGTCAAAACTCAAGACGTGTTTTGAGCTCCAGAGTCGCTATACAGGACTCGAACCGAACCTGTGACCCCACCAATTGATTCCTCGTTCGGAGAACAATCCATTGGTGGGGTCACAAGTTCGGTTCGAACCTGTGACCCCACCAATTGATTCCTTGTTCGGAGAACAATCCATTGATGGGGTCACAAGTTCGGTTCGAACCTCATTTAGCGACTCTGGAGCTCAAAACGCGTCCGTGACTTTTGAACGCCTCCACCGGTCATCTGGCCCACTGTGTGCTGTATGTTTACCCCAGGTTCGGGTCTGGGCTATGGCGTTCCTGGAAAGCGTAGGGGACCATACGCGATTCCCCCAGCATCTCCGACCTATCTTCCACACTTTTCTTTTGTTTTGGAGAGGAGGGGGACCGCTGAATGGCAAGCTCTTTCAATATAGTGAGTGTACGGGACGGAGAGATTAAGGAGGTGGTCTCGAGGAGGGGAAAGGGAGAGAGAGAGAGAAAGAGAGAGAGAGAGAGAGAGAGAGAGAGAGAGAGAGAGAGCGGTGACGAGCGGTGGGCCTCGGGAGGCCAGAGCCAGGCACCGGGAGGACGAGCGCGCCTATCTCGTGCGAAAGCAAACAGCCGATTCTGTCACACAGCATCAGTCGGGTCGGACCCCTCTGTCGCCCTGCGGGTGCGCCAGGCACAGTGGGCCGGAAGACCGGTGCAGGCGGTCCAAACCCTAGACGCATTCTGAGCACTAGAGTCTCTAAACAAGACTCGAACCGAACGTGTGACCCCACCAATGGATTGTTCTCCGAACGAGAAATCCATTGGTGGGGTCACACGCTCGATTCGAGTCCCATTTAACGACTCAAGAGCTCAAAACACGTCTAGAGTTTCGGCCGCCTCCACCGGTCTTCTGGCCCACTGTGCATGGGTGTGCAGCCGCCCGACGCCGGGCTCTGCTCTCCGTCCAATCGAGGCAATCAGTCGCTCGCTGTCCGTTCCTGGTTTTTCCAGGTGGCCTATATGGTAAAGACGTAAGGAAGTTCCTGGGAAAACCAGGAACTGTTTTGACTATGAAAGATCTGACACACTTGTAATTATACTTTCTTTTTCTATTTTCACGTCTAGTGTACAGGAACGTATGAATGGAAGCAGATATCTGCTTACACCGCAAATCTGATGTCGAGTTTGTCTACCACAAAACTGACAGGCCGTTTTTAAAGCCGAAAATTAGCATAAGCCCTGACCTCATATTCATGAGCTACAGCTTGCCATTATTCGGCGCCTTTGCCTCCTTCACCCCAAAATGTTAGCAATCAGCGGAATACTTCCCAACGCCAAATATGGAAGCAGAGTCCTGTTTAGTGACTCTGGAGCTCAAAACGCGTGAAGAACTTAAACCGCCTCCACCCGTCTTCTGGCCCACTGTGCGGCGCGCTGCCCCACTGCCAATCGGGCGGGCAATTTTAAGAGGCAATAAAGGCTGCCGCGAAACTTGTCATGACATTTATGACATTCGGTTCTCCGTGGCCCGCATCGGCCGTACCAAAGAAAAGATCGGGGAAACGGTGGGACAGTGGCGGTTCCAGAGGCGAACTTTAGGGGGGGGGGCATTTTAGTCTACTTTCAGTCAGGGCCAGAGTGGTACACTGTTATTCAAACTGCGATAACCACTGTCTATTTTGCAATAAAAAAACAAACTTGTCACAATCTTTTTTTTGCTATGATGACTACTAAAAATTTGCAATAAAAAATTAATAGCTCAATTTTGCAATGAAGTATCACTTTTTAGCGATAATGACTACAAAGAAAATGCAACAAAAAGTTATCGCTGAAATAATGTGTTAAAAGCTACTACAAAACGCTCATTCGTCGAAAAAAATTATGGGGTAGTTATTGCAAAAACATTGCTGTAACTAAATTATTGCACTCCAGGGAGCGATAAATCGTGGGAATCGCAAACTCGGTTTTATCTAAAAAAAAAAATTGTAGTAAAAGTATCGCAAAATGAATGACAGAGTACGTTTGGCCAGTGTCTACTTGGACAGGAAGCCTTTTCACTTAATTCATTCGTAGTTTGTCCGTGCACACGTTTTGCACTTGTGCATGCGCTCAAAAATGCGCGAATTTGTGCGGAAACCAACGCGAATATGTAACGTGCAAAGTGAGTGCAAAAAAACAAAAAAACGGGTGCAAAAAATATGATGGATTAAAAATTTTAAAGTCCACGCGGAAATTGAAAGTGTTACTCCCACTAAACACAGCCCGGCGTCGGCCGAGTGAATACGCCCATGTGCGGTCCAAGCGAGCAGAGAGACAGAGAGGTCCGATCCGACTGATGCTGTGCGACAGCACCGGTTGCCAGCCAGGTACGCTCGCCAGCGCACAGTGGGTCAGAAGACCGTTGACAGCGGCCCGAACTTAAGACGCGTTTTTAGCTCCATAGTCCCTAAACAGGACTCATAGCTAAGCGTGCGACCGCACCAATGGATTCCTCGGTCGGAGGGCAATCCATTGGTGAGGTCACACGTTCGGTTCGAGTCTATTTAGCGAATTTAGCGACTCTGGAGCTCAAAACGCGTCAGAGTTTTAGCCGCCGGCCGGTCTGTTTTGCTCGCGGCGCGGCGGCCTCTGCTGGTAACTTGCGCAAGTCTCTTGCGGCCGTTGAGGCATGTCTGGCGTGCTGCACAGGCCAGGCGCCCCGGAGCGCGGTGACCCAACACTGCTACCGGGCCACTGTCTAGAGTACCGACTGCAGCTGGCAGACACGACCAGCTCGCCTCAGGCCAAGACAGCGAAAAATGCTGCCGCGTCCACCAAACGCACGCCGCCGTGAGGAAAGGCGTCGGTGCTTGGGTGCTGCACAGTGTCAAGGGACGCAAAGGAGTCGGTCCTAAAACGTACTAGCCGATCTCGGTCTGAGGACAAAGGCGTACGTGCATGTTGAAGTCGCTTAAAAGTGTGGCCAAGACACCACACTAGAGTCGGTCACATCTGTATACACTTTTTGGCAATCGTAACTGTGCTCGTAAACGGATAATCATCCGTATACAAAGCAGTTCTTGCAAGTACACCTAACAAACGGCGATGTTAGGCACGAATACACTTTGACTTACGAAAGTCATGCTTGACAAGTAAAATCACATTACGCTTGCACAAAACCGCGATGCGGATCTGGGCCGTAAGGAGTCTATCAGGCTCAACGCATGCTTACGCATGGAGTGTTACGGCGCGAGCATGCTTTGTAAGTGTGTACTTAATAGACAGTTAGGTTTATAGTGTAGACGCGCTTTGAGCTCCAGCCAGAGTCACTGAACATGCCTTGGACGGAACGTGTGACCCCACCAGGGGATTGCTCTCTGAACGAGAAACGTGGGGTCACACGTTTGGTTCGAGTCCTGTTGAGCGACTCTGGAGCTTAACATGCGTCTGTTCCCTCCCTAGGCCGGCTTCTGGCCCACTGAATGCCGGTGGGGAAGGGGAAATAGTGAATGACTTATACAGGGAGCGATAAAAGGGAAACGCAAGGTCTGTGTTGCGAACAGACTGCGAAAGCGTATCACGCGAGTCTGTTGAGCATCAAGTCACATCCAGAGCCAGCCTGACAGGAGGAAAGAGGGAAAAAAAGGGGGGGTAGCACTTTTTGCGCACTTACAGGGCCAAAGTGTTGTTTTTTGCTTACATTTGAGGCGGCTATCAAAAGGGGGGGGGGCAATCTTATCCTTGTGCCACTGCACTGTCATCATAAGTGATAACGGACTCATTTCGATTGGAATTCATTTTTATGCAGATGATACATTTATGTACACAGCTAGACGCAAAAGTTGAAAAAAATATAATCATAATTATGAATGTAATAGACTGCTGTACTTTCGTCGACAGCAAGCGGCTGGCTAGGTAGGCAAGAAGATCTCGAAGGTATGTTACACTGTGGCAAAAAGGTACGGAAAAGTCTGTTAATTTTTTTGCCAGGATTCCCCGTAGCCCTCTTATCAATATTCTCCGTAGGCTCTTACAGTATTCTTCGTAGGGCCCTACAGTATTCTCTGTAAGTCCACAGTCTTCTCCGTAGGACCTGGAAGACTGTATAGTCCTACGGAGATCACTGTAAGGTCCTACGGAGAATACTGTGCGATCCTACGGAAAATGCTGTAAGAGCCTACAGAGAATATAGATAAGGGGGCTACGGAGAATTACCACAAGCTGTTTACAGAATTTTCCGTAGCTTTTTGCCACAGTGTATGAAGTCAGCTGCACCACCATCATATGGAAAATTTTCACCATAATATGGAGAATCAATATACATTATGGAGTACAAAATTTAGAGTGATGACCAGATTAATACACGAGTGCACACCCCCTCATCGTACTTAAATATTATTAAAAATAAAACTTGCACGCTCATATTCTTACGAACGTTTTTATACGTATGACGATTTGTCATCGTAAGGTATCATAAAATTGCACATCCGTGACATGCACAAATGTCTGCAGATGGTATGCATGATTTCATCGTAGTACAGTACCAACGCGATCGCTGTCGCCCGAAAGCAATATTGAGAGCAGTTCGTTCGCTGCCACTACAGCAGCAGATGGACGCCGAGCAGACGAGCTGTCACCTACCAGCCGGTAAACGCCGGGGCAAGGGCAAGGGGGGCGGGGAGGGAGCATGGTTAGGCTCGGCACGGTAGACCAGCTCTTATTTTGCGAAAGTGAGAATTCCGCTGGGTTCCCCGACTCAAAATGACCGAAATGGTGAGAAAACTCTTAATTTGAAAGCCCAAGGTCGTCAGACTTACCAAAGCCGTGCCCCAAGACCCTATACAAAGGCAAAAAGCCATTTTTTTTTTCGGATTTTCACCAAACTAAGTTTGACTCTAGGGTAAACAGGCCATAAAACGACCCTTCGGGCGAAAATTTCGTCCGTTTTGCGATATCTCGACTCCTTCATGCCCAAGCGGCCTCCCCAACCGCCCGCGCGGCGTCTTTTTTATGCTCGCGGTTGGGTAGGCCGTTTGGGCATGAAGGAGTCGAGATATCGCAAAACGGACGAAATTTTCGCCCGAAGGGACGTATTAAGGCCTGTCTACCCTAGAGGCAAACTTAGTTTGGTAAAAGTCCGAAAAAAAAAATTGGCTTTTTGCCTTTATATAGGGTCTTGGGGCACGGCTTTGGTAAGTCTGACGACCTTGGGCTTTCAAATTAAGAGTTTTCTCACCATTTCGGTCATTTTGAGTCGGGGAACCCAGCGGAATTCTCACTTTCGCAAAATAAGAGCTGGTCTATCGGCACGGCCACTGGCTGGCCGGAGCAAGCGTGCGTCGGCGCTGCCGGTAGTTCGGCCCGGCAAGCGAAGCGGGCTAGCGCCGAATTCTGTCTGTCTCTCTCGCACACGACAGCGATCGCGCTGGTACTGTACCCACTTGTAGAGTGGTCTAGATTTGACCGCTAATATGACCTAAGTGGATCAGCATCTTTTGTGGTCGGAGTGCAACACTCTCATTCCAGGAACGTGACATCACATCGACATGAGTGTGACACAATCGAAGGGGCCACCACCCCCGTAATCCTGTGTACAAATTGGCCGGTAATCTTCCGTAATCCATGCCATGGCTAAATTCTGTCATTTTTCAACGTTTTTCTGTCATTTTTCTAAGTTTTTGAGCCACTTTTCAACGTTTGTGAACCAATTTTCCAAAAAATTACGCGTAATCCCTAGTTAAGTTCCCGAAATCTTGAGTACGCCTGAAATGAGGGTGGTGGCCCCGTCGGACACAATGCTGAAAGAAGCACGACACTTTGGCGCATTCGTTTCATTTGGATAAGAGCAGGTCTTGGCGATGTTATCCGCTAGCCACTCACAGCCGCCGCCGCCCGCTTGAGTGAGCCGAGCGCCGGGAGGGTAGGCCACCCAACGCGCACCAGAGGCCGAATTGGCCGAACGGCGGCCGCTCACTCGTGTCGTAGTACCATTACCATTACGGGCTAGACCACACATGATCGTATGCCGTTTAGGGCCCGACACATGCTCGCCTGCACTGCAAAACGAGACGTGGTCGTCCTTACTGGGGTGACACGTTATACCGCTAGCCCTCAGATGATCGTTTGCCGTCGTTTCAAGCCCCCGACGATGTAGAGTCGCTAAATGGGACTCAAACCGAACGTGTGACCCCACGCCAATGGATTCCTCGCTTGGGGAGCTCGGAGGTGGCCAAAACTCAAGATTTGGGCTCGATGCGGCCAGTCCAGATTTCTAGTATGGTCGCCGCGAGCTTACACAAGCTTGTCCAAGATGTCAACCGTGTATGCATGTGTGTACTCAGTACACACTTCTAGGTGAGTGCACTTCGAGGTGTGTACTTGCCTAAGCACGCACCTAGAAGTGTGTACTTGAATGAGTACACACTTTAAAGTACACACTTTAAACTTGTGGCCCCACACTTCAGCCGTCGGACATGCTGTGGTCGACACTTGCAGGCATCGGACACTGTGTGGTCGACACTTCAAAGCGTCGGACACACTGGTCGACACTTGCAAGCGTAGGACAAACTGGTATACGCCTTTAAGTGTCGACCTGACCTGTCCTACACTTGGATTTGCAGTGTATTTTACAATGGAAATGGTAACAAGATTCCCATTATGGAGAAATATTGCTTCTTAGTATGATCGCTCCAATTTCACCGTAAGATAATTAGAGTGCACGTTACATAACGTCGTCGCTGTTCACTGTTCAAGGGCGTCTTTGAAAACAGTGCAGGTTGTGACGGCTGCCGGGAATCCTTCGTCAAACAGAATACAAAGGGACTGTTTGCCCAGGGCGGGCACAAAGTCTCGTCATGCCGAACTTAAAGCAAAATAGAGTGATAACGGGGGTATAAAAGGCGTGCGGTCGCGTGCCGACACGTGGCAGTGGGATCCTTGCGCGACTCGACATGGCCACCACCTTGGTGCTCCTGCTCGCCGCGGCCGCCGTGGCGGTAAGTCGGTTTCAACTATCACTCGTTTCGCACATTTTTTTTTAAACAATTTATTAAAAACACAAAATTTCATTTCTGTGTTTATTTGTTGGTTGGAATCGACTCTCAAAGGTTCAAATATTCTTGAAAAAATTTCAGTCCGATGAAACTTGTGATGCCGTGGGCCACAGGAGGGTGAAAAGTCAAAATTAACGTTAACTTTGACGCCGTGTTAACGTTAATTTTGACTTTTATTTTTAAAAAATGTGCGCAGTTTCATTGAAGTCAACGTTAACAACCCTGCTCGTGTAAAGTCTGAGGCATTACAACAAAGTGACGTAAGTGCAAAACGAGTTCCTAGCGCGGTTGGAACCCTCTTGCTAAGACGAACCTTTTCCAATATTCAAAATTGCATTTCCCTGGTTTGCTCTAGGAGATAATGACTAGTGAAGTCTGACGTAAGTTTCTTTTCGTTCAAATGTCAATTTCTTTCAACGTCATAAGTGCGCTTATGATTGATTGATTTAAAGAATTTCGTACAATACGTGTCATGTTTTTCTCAACTATGCACAACGCAAGTACAGTAAAACAATGATTTGCCTTGTCGATACTTCAACTACTGAAAGGAGGCAAAATGGAGTAAAATTTAGCGTGCAAGTCACTTAAGTCTACTTTCGTCGCTTTGTCGGATTGAAACTATCAAAGAATGTGACGAAAGTACATCCAAGTAGAAAACTAATCGTAATTTGAAAGTTTTCTAAACATAGATGCATTTTTCGGATGCCACAAACAATTTTCCTAGTATTTCTCATTCGGAGAGCAATCCATTGGTGTCACGCGTTCGATTTGAGTCCCGTTTTAACGACTCTGGAGCTTAAAACACCCCCGGGGTTTTGACCACCTCCACCGGTCTTCAGGTCCACTATGCGCTGGTATGGTGGTAAATCCATCTTGACGGCCTTGTTGCCCTGCAGGTCGTAGGTGTCGCCGGCACTGCCCCGCGAACGCTGAAGCCCAAGGCGCACCCGCTGCTGGGCGCCAGCCTGGGTGCCGCGGCCGACGCCACGCAGGACTGCCAGAGCCAGCTCGCCCGCTGCACCGACTGCACCACGCTGCTGACGTGCACGCGGCTCGGCGCAGTGTACCGCCCGCTCACGACCACCGCGTGCTCCGGCACCACGCCGTACTGCTCCAACGGCGCGTGCGTGGCCGCCTTGCCCGACAACTGCAGCGCGGAGCCCGCCGCCGACACGACCTTCACGTGCAACGGCGACGGCTACTTCCCGTCGCCCTCCGACTGCAAGAAGTACTACCTGTGCGCCAACAACCAGGCCTACGCGTACGACTGCACGCCGTACTCCAACACGGTCTTCAGCTACGAGAAGGCTCTATGCGTGCCCAAGTGCGTCCGAGTTTTTTTCACTCAATATATCTTGTTACTTACCCGTGGTGTGTGACCCCACACTGAGAAAACCTTACGAACTATTTAAGGCCTTACAAAGAAAAGCAGCTTGTTACAGTCTAAAAGTCCCATGGTGAAGATTCTCTAAATTATGGTGAAAATTCTCTATATTATGGTGGTGCAGCTGCCTTCGTAACTTTCAGGTCACACACTTGCTGCCTATGCTAGCTCTGTGGTTTTATGCCACGGGTCCCACCCCACGCCTGCAAGTGCGAGACATCGATGTCTCACACTTGCAAGCGTGAGACAAAATGTCCCACACCTACAAGTGTGAGACTTGGATTGGTAGTGCATGCATCAATGGATTCCTCGTTCGGAGAGCAATCCATTGATGGGGTCACACGTTCGGTTCGAGTCCCGCTTAGCGACTCTGGAGCTCAAAACGCGTCCGGGATTTTGACGGCCTGCGCCGGTCTCCTGGCCCACTGTGCACAGGTCCCAGGCCACGTGCAACACGGTGACCTGCAACAACAACAACGTGGGCACCTACCAGCAGTGGAGCAGCGAGCACAGCGTGTACTTCGTGTGCACCGACAACAACGCCGCGCACGCCTACGTGGCGGACTGCGGCGCCAACCACGCCATCACGGCGGACGGGGACTGCGCCCTGGCGTGCCTGCGCGAGGGCCGCCTCCCCGACGAGTCCAGCCCGGACAGGTACTTCGAGTGCATCCAGACGGCCACCAACACCTTCACCGACCCCATCCCCGGCACCTGCCCCGCCGGCACCACCTTCGACGCCTGCTCGGAGCGCTGCGTCAGCACCGGCAGCAGCGGCAGCAGCGGTCAGTGCACATTCGCTACACACACTGTAAATGTCTTACGGTGAAAGGCTCACTGGTAAAACAAAGGCATAAAAATTACGCCCTTTAGGGCATAAACACTCTTTTACACCCTTCCCAAGGGCATAAATCGTTTTATGCCCTTGGGAAAAGCGTATATGGTACAGGAATCTCAAGCAAAATTGATCCACGAAGCGGAAGAAGGGGTTAAGTCGAGTTGAATCCGTGCACTTTTTCAAGGCCTAAACCTTGCAGGTGGGAGAACAGGTGGGGAATGTCATCTAAAAATAGATGCAAGAGGATGTGACTTGTCTCACCACACTTATTTTTGGACCAAATTTTCGCTCATGTTTACTTGATAGACTGATAAGAGGTCACTGAATCAACTCGACTTAACCCCTTCTTCCGCTTCCTGGATCAATTTTAATGCCCTTTCAAAAGGCATTAACGATTTATGCCCTTTAAGGGCGTAAACCGTTTACCCTTAAAGGGCATAATTTTAATGCCTTTGTTTCGCTAGTGTGCACCAACACTCTCAGCACGTTATTGACTTTCTGCTCATTTTGTCAGTACTTATGCAAGTAATTTGTGCAACCACGTACTTTTCCTTTTTTAAAGAACATTTTTAAAGAGCATTTTTAAAGAACATACAGCTTGTAATTCTCCGTAGCCCTCTTATCAATATTATCCGTAGAACCGCACTGTCTTCTCCGTAGGACCTTACAGTTTTCAGGAAGACTACGGGAACACTGTGAGGTCCTACGCAGAAGACTGCAAAGTCCTATAAGGTCCTACGGAGAATATTGACAAGAGGGCCACGGAGAATTACCACATGCTGTTAACAGCATTACTCGTAGCTGTTTGCCAGTGTAGAATTACGGAGGAAATTCGGCAGGATCTTGACAGAATGAATCGACGGTAAAAATTGACGGTACTCAATGCAGTTTAGTCTGACATTGCACTGCTTCGCGACTGTTTTTTTCAGCTGCGCTGAGGAAAAAGTACAGGGCTACCATAGGTTCCCAACCTTTTCCGGCTCGCGACACCAAAAAGGCTGCCAAAAATTTTCCCGACCTCAGAGCCGACAATTCGCAACCCCACGTGACCCAATTCCCCCCAAAAAAATCATTGCTTTTGAATTTTGGTGTTGAAACCTTCCTCACTCAAATTTGGTGGGTGATGAAGAATTCCTCGCCCAAAATGTTAGTCATGGTCGTGACTCTTTCATCCTGAGTGAAGGCTGACGCTATCGCGGGGACCAAAGCACTTCAAAACAACCGGGGCGGCGCGTACACAGCATTTAAATCTCACGTGCCGACGCGAGCCAGACTTCGCGCCCCAGCGCCGGGCGTGCCTAAAATATCTCGTCGAGGATTCAGACATCTCATCTGTCTTATCAGCACAAACAGCGCGTTCAAATTCCAGAGTGAACAATGGCGTAGCGGTGGTGGCCCCGAGGTAAAATGCCTATGAAGCCAAAGCCATGGTTCTTTCTTGTAGTGTTGTTTTCGCTGAGGATGTCTATTTTTCGCACAGAGCGTCTGTGACGCCGCATCAGAAGGTGGACCCACCTGCCAAAGGCATACCACAGTGGGCCAGAAGACCGGCGGAGGCGGTCAAAACTCTACACGCGTTTTGAGCTCCAGAGTCGCAAAATGGGACTGGAACCGAACGTGTGACCCCACCAATGGATTCCTCGTTTGTAGAGCAATCAATTGGTGGGGTCACACATTCGGTTCGAGTCCCATTTAGCGACTCTAGAGCTCAAAACGCGTCTGGAGTTTTGGCCGCCCCCACCTTTTCTGGCCCACTGTGCATAGTAATAATGGCACGCCTCTCTTCAAGCGTAGAGAGGAAAATCCCCCCCTGTACGGTACCGGATTGCTCTCCGAACTTTCTATCTTCCGTGACATTGTTATTTCCGTGATAAAAACATTCTTTAAAACATACCTGAGGGCTCGTGGTTTTAGGAATGTAGCCTTTACCGTACATACCATTGCTACAACTCTAGTTTCATCCTGGAACCCTGAAATTAGGAAAACGTAATTGGTTGTTTCTAACTTTCGGCAAATCAGAAACGTCAAAACGTCCCCGAAACGTGAGAATCGCTCGTCTGAAATTTCGGCGTCTTCTGGCCCACTGCGCGGTGGCATTTTCGGTCCGTGTAGCAAAAGATCCATACGATTCGGAAAATTCCTATGCATGTATCGGAATATCAGTCAGTATTTCCTATACATGTAAAGGAATTTTGCTAGACCACTGTATGGTAAAATTCCGATCACATTTTATAGTGCACTGTTAGAAAATTCCGAAAAAAAAATGAAAAATCATAGAGTTTTTCCGAAACTTCTGCATGGAGGTCTCCATAAATGCAAATTCTGGGCTTTCTCCGGAAAGTTTCGGAATTTTGAACAAAAATGCATGCTTCACTATCACGAGAACACGAAACAAGATTTGCGACCAGTTAAAAAATGAGGGAAAGGTAAACCCCTACTTGTTTACCTCAGTTTTCACAATATCCAGGGAAAGCTACAGGATAAAAGTCAAATGAGCTCGAAGGAGATTGTCCCTTCTTTGACCATTTCAGACTAAAGAATGCTTCAGCGAAGCCCTCTTTAACACTAGAACCGCTGACTTTTTCGTATACCTAGAACCGCGGAAGGGGTCATTTTGACCCCCCTTTTTTCTGCCCGCATTTTTTATATTTTGCTTATGTTATGGGCCCTTAACGATGTAAAATGATGTATCTGAGATCGACAATGATATTTTGAATTATATAGGGCCTGAAAAGGCCAAAGGTAGGCAACCCGCATGGCACGAATAACCTGTTTTGCTCCTTTACTACCATTTTTGGCCCGTCCCGTGTATTTTTTTGTTAAAAAAATGACGGAGGGACGGAGTATGATCCATGCTGTGCGTCCGTCCGATCGTTCGTCCGTCTGAGGACTTCCCATGGTCCGATCTTGACCAAATTTGATATGCAGCCTCCTTGGGTGACCCTTTAGAACCGCCCGCTGACAGCAAATCCGATCTGAGCCCCGGGGGCGCTGCTGCAGGTGCATCATGGTCTACCTTAGGTCGAGGAGGATTTCGTCAACGGATACAGCTAGAAGAGCATGAAGGGAAATTTTTGGAATCGGGGCGACGAGACAAAACCAATGGTGCCAGTTTCGAGCGAATCGGAGAGGTTTGAACCCGGGTTCAAATCCTAGTGGGGTACATTTAGAACATTATTTTTACTCGGGTTTTTGCATTGTTGTTGATGTGTATGAGGGTGCTGATCTATTTTATGCTGATATAAAAACATCTAATTTGACCCCAGACTCAGGTTCAGGTCCCGTCCGGATTAAAAATAGGCGAAATTAGTACATTCCTCAATGTACGGGACGGGCCAAAGTTGCCGATGTATATCGCAACTTTTCCTGTTATTCAGTGTGGGGATGGGTACAAAGTGACGTAGATTTTTTACCAGATGATACCTTGAAACCTACACTTGAAATGTATCTAAAACTATTAGACACCTAGAGGTGTCAGCGTGCTTTTACTGCTGAGTCCGGAAACCAAGCGGTATCCTAACAATAATACAATAATATTAGGGTGGTGGCTGCCGGGCGGGATCGTGAGTGTCGCATGGCAGGCAGTCTGCGCGAAACATCGACAATACCTCGCGGGTACAGCGCGAGCGGCACCGGCCAACAATCCCCTGTCCCCGGGTACAGCGCGCACAGAACAGCAACAATGTCCAAACAATGTGCAAGCCACAGCTCGGCTCGCACCGACATTGGCCAGCTCGCTTAGGTCCATGAATATTATTGGGCTATCTATTTATTTCATACACAGTTATAAAAAAGCCCGAACTACTACCTCGAAGAAAACCTAACGAGTATCATCTGCTTTCATTAACGTTCGTTGAATGAGATTTTTTTATTCTACAGATACCTTACGCAGAACACACGCATCTTGCATACATTTAGGCGTTTGCTCGGCGGGTCGCCTATGCCGTTGGCCAAGTCAGGTCTCCCAGGGCAGACCATAGCACTCCCAAATGATTCACCAATAAAATTGACGCTTGTGACGCTTTTTTATTGCCAAAATTCGAACTTCCTGAGTGCAAACAACACAGGGGTCAAAATGACCCCTGCCGCGGTTCTAGGTATATTGTTGTTTTACGCCCACAAAAATGGCACGACAGCGCCGAAATTTCACTCAAATGTTCTTTTCTGGTATTTATAAAAAGTCAAAAAGCCCCAAATCCGAAAAGAAAAAAATAAGTCAGATAAATTTAAGACGAAAATTAAAAGGGGTCAAATTGACCCCCTCCGCGGTTCTAGTGTTAACATATCTGAGAAAAGACATGCATTTTACCTCCCATCTGGACCCAAGGAATGCTCCGAAGAACATCTGTTTAAGTCCTGAGAAAATCTCTCCGAAAAAAGATGGAAAATGAATGGAGTCTCCATGAACGTGATTATAGGGTGGTTTTTCTCCATAAAACTTCGGAGCTAATTTCTAACAGTGTGGAGTTTTCATGTTGCCCCTTTTGCTTCCAACGCAGATCAGCCCGACGACAGTGGGCACGACACGTACGCGCCGAGCGACTCGGTGCCGGAGAGTCTGTACCAACTCCCCGCCGACCTGAAGATCGGCACGGCCACGGCGGCCTACCAGATCGAGGGGGCCTGGAACGTGAGCGGTAAGTTCAGAGACTCACTGAGGCAAAAAGGTACGGAAAATTCTATTAATTTTTTTGCCAGGATTCTCCGTAGCCCTCTTATCAATATTCTCCGTAGGCTCTTACAGTCTTCTCCGTAGGGCCGTACAGTATTCTCTGTAAGTCCGCACAGTCTTCTCCGTAGGACCTGGAAGCAAGGGGTCCCCAACCGGCGAAAATCGGTGTACACGGGTGAAAAAGTCATTAAAAAAGTCACTAAAAGTCAAAAAAGTCAGAAAGTCACAAAAGTCAAAAAGTAACAGAAAAACCACTATAAAGTATCCAAAAAGTCACGAAACAGCATTTAAAAATGCCAAATTTCAATGAACGCTGGTGGAAAAGTAACTTTTTAAGTCAAAAAAGTCATTTAAAGGTCAAAAAGTCATTTAAAAGTCAAAAAGTCATTAAAACGTGTGAAGGTGAAAATAGTTCCAAGGCAAGACAGTCGCAAAAAGTCAGAAAAGATACTCAAAAAAGTCATAAAAAAGTCAAAAAACAATCAAAAAGTCACTAAAAAGTCAAAAAAGTCAGTTTTGACTTTAAGTCAGTGCACGCTCGCCGGCTCGGTTGGGGACCCCTTGCCTGGAAGACTGTTTAGTCCTACGGAGATCACCGTAAGGTCCTACGGAGAATACTGTGCTGTCCTACGGAAAATACTGTAAGAGCCTACGGAGAGTATTGATAAGGGGGCTACGGAGAATTACTACAAGCTGTTTACAGAATTTTCCGTAGCTTTTTGCCACAGTGCTTGGCGGAGACTCCACTGTTCACACTAAATGTCTTACAATGAAATTTGACCTATGTTATTCGTATGTTACAGTGAATTCGGCGCAAGCATAATACGAAGCAATATTCCTTCGTAATACGAATCTTTTTAGCTTTTTCATCGTAAGATACAAAGAAAAACCTTCGTAATACGAAGAAAAACCACCTTCGTATTATGCTTGCGCCATTTTCTTCGTATTATGGAAAATTTCTTCGTAAGACATTTAGAGTGTTCACTGAGAAAACCTTACAAACTACTTTGGGCCTTACAAAGAAAAGTAGTTTGTATAACAAAGTATTTTGAGCATACGTAAGCTTACAAAGAAAATACTTCGTAATTTACGAACTATTTCTTCGTATAACAAAGTATTTTAGTTTGTTATATGTATGCTCAAAATACTTCGTAAGGTTTTAAGAGTGTTCTTCAACTAACGTCCCATCATAGCCGTTAGGATGCGAGTTTTGTCCCGTTCGTTTGGCTAGTAGGGCCAGTTGAGGTAATTATGGGACTCGGGGTAAAAATGGGACAGCAGATTCTTAGTCAAGGTTTGACATTTTTGAACGCATGACATACCAAATGTGATGTTTTTATTCAGGAAATAACATTTGCCACGGCACAAGTTCTAAAATCTCGATTCTTGACTGAGAATCAGCTGTCCCATTTTTACCACATGTCCCACAATTACCCCAACTGACCCTAGGTCAAATTCGTTTCACCACATAGACTCAAGTTCAAACGAATGTGCCACCCTCATCAGACGGCCGTGTCCACTCTAAACCCAAATCTGATACTTTCAGTACCTTTTTTGGCGACAAAATTGAGTATCGCCAAAAAAAGGCCTTACCGAAAAATCTTGCCTTCAAAACGGCGATACACAAAAGTATAGCCAAAATTTGGCGATACTTTGAAGTATTGCCAAGATTGGGCAATAAAATTTGAACGAATCAAGGCGAATAGTTCTTTGTTCATGGCTAGATACTCGTCAGTATTGCCGAATTTTGGCGACACTTTTTGTATCGCCGTTCTGAAGGCAAGATTTTTCGGTAAGGCCGCTTGTTGGCGATACTATTATTAAAAGTGGAACCATAAAACGGAAATTCAGCAACAAAAGTACTCAATCAATATTTGCTACAAACATTGCAAAATCTTTTTTGACTAACAGCATTTGTTGTTCGTCAACGACTGGGTTTTGAAGGTGCCTTGTTAATATGTTATTACAAGTTTGTCGTTGGAAAATTATCCTTCGGTTCCAATACGACGATGGTTCAACTAACTGTTCGTTCGAAACCAAATCTTGTCGTTAGAAAAAAAATTAGCAATAAATGTGTTGCTTACACTCTAAATGTGGGGTGCCCAGAAACTGGGCGCCTTTGTCGCCCGCCCCACTTTTTAGGGTGCCAAATGTCGCCCAGTTTCTGGGCACCTTTGTCGCCTAGTCTCAGGGTGGACAAATCATACAGTAACCGGCCCTCTCCCATGGTAGAGCATGCACAGGTGTCTAGTTCCTGAGCGACAAAGGTGCCCAGATCCTGGGCACTGGCACCTTAGTCGCTGCTGAGCCATGGGTGAAGGCAGGTTCCTTAATGGTTTGTCCACCCCCGAGACTGGGCTACAAAGGTGCCCAGAAACTGCACGGAAAAAAAATATTTCGCTATTTTAGCGAACATCTGTTTGCTGAAGGAAAATTCGCTGGAATAACGAGCAAATTCGCTATTTCAGGGCATTTAGGACTCTGATGTAGCGAACTCTTGTTCGCTGTTCTACCGATAAGTTTTTCCTTACTAACGCAACGAACATGTTTGCTAGATATGCTAAAAGTGTTCGCCAACATTGGATTCATGCGTGTTTTGTACCTTGTGGGGCTTTCTAAGCCAAGAGGAGGACTCTAGCCTATTCCCACAGTATGTCTTGGTGGTCTGGGGGTACAGCACGAATCTCAGAACCTGTAAGTTGAAGGTTCGATTCCAGCTCGGAGTGGGCGAGAGAAGATAATTGTATCCTGGTTGAGGGTAGAAGACCGCTCTAAATCGTCTTCCTACCATCTTTTTGTGACAAGACTACGAAATCATGGTCATTATATCAGCGAAAATTGTTACCTATCCCAGCAAACAAAATGTAGGTGAAAAATTTTCGCTGTAATAGCAAACAAATTCTTTGCGCCATTAGCAGGTGACAAAAATTCGCTGAAATAGCAAAAAATTCGCTAGATTAGCGAAATCTTTTTTTTCCGTGTGGGCGACATTTGGCACACTAAAAAGTGGGGCGGGCGACAAAGGCGCCCAGTTTCTGGGCACCTCACACGGAAAAAAAAATTTTCGCTGATCCAGCGAAATTTTCGTTGAACTAGCGAAATTTTGTTCGTCATTTGGGAACCTAGTAATATTTTCGCTGATCGGGCTAACTTTTGTTCGCTACTGAAAATTCGCTACTTCAGCGCACATTTTTGACTATAATAGCGAAAAATATAAGCTAAATCAGCCAAATAAATCTCCTAAAAAAAGCAGCGAAATTGTGTTTGCTGCCAGGATGTTCGTTACGTTAGCGAACACTTTTCGCTGACATTATGACCGTAAGTTTGTTGACAACTTTCAAAAAGGCAATCGGCCGATGATCTGGAATGTCGGCGATCTCGTAATCAGGGTACCAGTGGTAAACCTTGCCCAATTCTGCCCGGGATCGAACCCTCGAACTCTTTGTTAGCAGTCAGAGGCTTTGCCACCAGACCACCAAGCGACCTAAGGAGCAGAGGCCAGAGGTCTTCTCTTGACTTGGAAAGCCTTGCTATCTAGAGAACACACAGGAAACTAATGTAGCGAATATTGTTCGCTTGTCCAGCAGAAATGTTCGTTGGATGGCAATGAAAAGGAGATCGCTCGAACAGCATTCAAAAGTTAGCGCATAATGTTCGCTACTCCAGCAAAAATGTTCGTTGGATAGTAAGTAATAAATTATCGGTAGAACAGCAAGCGGAAGTTCGCTACATCGACGATCCAAATGCACTCAAATAGCGAATTTGTTTGTCATTCCAGCAAATTTTGCTCTAGCAAACAGATGTTCGCTAATCTAGCGAAATAATTTTTTTCCGTGCATATATAGAGTGTAGTTACAACAAAATATTTTTCGTCAAAATTTTTGACGCCGCCTCGGACAAAACGGCGTGTTTCAGGCAAGTCCCCCAGCATCTGGGACGTGTTCTTCCACAGCCGGCCGGGGATGGACAACGGCGACGTGGCGGACGACTCGTACCACAAGTGGCAGGAGGACGTCCAACTGCTGGTGGACCTCGGCGTGAGTACCGCGGGGCTCCACTGCACAGTGGGCCAGAAGACCGGTGGAGGCGGCCAAAATTCCAGACGCGTCATGAGCTCGTCAAACGGGACTCGAACCGAACGTGTGATCAAACCAATGGATTCGTTTGGGGAGCAATCTTTTGGTGAGGTTCGAGTCCCTAACCGTTGATGAGATTTGGCTTTCACGTATATCATTTCGAAGGTAAATGTTTATACTTTACTCTCGTGTAAGAACATTTAATCCAAGCAGCATGTTGTACAAGCTCAAAGAGCGAAAACAAAAAAAAAAACGTTCCGGAAGTACCTTACTCTCCCTTACCGGACAGTGGATTCCTTGTTCGGATCCGAACCAGGAATCCATTGATTGGGTCACACGTTCGGTTCAAGTACTGATTGGCGACTCTGGCGCTCCAAGTCCGTCCGGGATTTTGACCACCTCCACCGGTGTTCTGGCCCACTGTGGCCCGGGAACATCGCTGACAACTGCCGCGTTTGCTGCAGGTTGACATGTATCGCTTCTCCCTGGCATGGACGAGGGTGCTGCCTGGAGGCAGTCAGGCCAACGGCGCTAACCAGGACGGAGTTGACTACTACAACAACCTCATCAACACATTGATCAGCAATAATATCGAGCCTGTGGTGAGTTTACTCGAACGACACAACTCTAGAAACTGAAAGAGTGCTCATGGTGATTTTTTTCTTTTCACCATCACGGCGTAAAAGGGTTTTCCAATCTTCTCTGAACAAAGAACGCTATCTTAAATACGACTAAATTTCTCTAAGTTTAAACATTAGGGACAGCAAAAAATGAAAAAGGACCATGACGAGGGGGCTGCTACATTGGATGTTTGAAGACACAAGATTTCTTGTGGCTGAAGATTTCATCGGATTTTGCAAGATTTTAACCGATATTCTGTTCAAAATTCGCTTGTTTTTGGCCTTTATGGGGCAAGATTCCAGATTTCCCAGAGATTTCTAGCGCCAAGGGGACACAAGATTTCTGGAGTGGTTGCCCCCTCGGATCACGGTGTCATTCGCACCATCTTGAAGGGAAACCGAGTGGAACTTCGTATATTCTATTGTCTCATCCGTCCCAAAATGAAGCTGTATTTACTTGCGTTTAAGATACGTTTCTTGACTCAGAAACGACCATTGAGATCATTTCTTCTCCGGTAACGGTTAGATAAAATCTTTTGAGTAGAACTCTGTTTTATACACTGTAGAAAAAATCGACGGGAAAAGGTACAGGCACAGTCTGGTAGACAATTTGCCTGGTACCACCGTACCTCAGCCAGTACGGCTTTTGGGGTACGGAGTACGGTTTTTTACAACATGGGCTCTTATGAGAACCACGGTTTTTGGGTACAGTTGTTCTGTACACCGTGAGGTACGGTCTAGCCGTACCCTTTTCCTTGAACACCTTTTTCCTTTTATAACAGTGTACGGTAAAAATGTTTGACCGATGTTTCTAACGCTCCCGCTGGTTGCTAGATCACTATCCACCACTGGGACATTCCGCAAATCTACCAAGACGAAGGTGGCTGGATGACGGCAGCTATCCAGGACCACTTTGTAGACTTCGCCGACTTCGCGTTCAAGACATTCGGCGATAGGGTAAGTCCTTGAAAATTTGAAGGAAATACTTGGCGTGAAATTCTGGAGAGACAAAAAGTCTTGCCCAGTTATGGTGAAATCTAAAAGTCTCGCTAAAATTTGGTCAGTCCAAAATGTCCATGAACCTTATTGACTTTTGCAAGTCAAAAGACAATTCGCATTTCAGATGAGGACACTTCCATCAAAATAAAGGACAACTTTATTCAATTTGAAGACAATCTTAATTCATGTGAATTTGAACTACGTTATTGTTCCCTGCTGAGTGTATTTACAGAGCGGTGGGGTACCCGCTGAGCCCGAGCCCCATTCATTAGTTAATTTAAGTATTTGCATGTACAGTGGGGGTGCTTTTGCCATACTACTAAAGCTAAGCCACCTGGCCTCATCCCTGCGCAGGTCAAGACGTGGATTCTCATGAACGAGCCGAACATCTTTTGCAACAACGCTTACGAAGGTAGCAATTTCGCTCCTGGCCTCGGCCTAACGGGCACTGGCGGATACGGCTGCGTTCACAACCAGATCCTGGCCCACGCCAAGGCCTACCACCTGTACAACGACACTTACAGAGCGACTCAACAAGGTACAGTTTCCAAAAGAGTCAGAAACTTACAGTCAGAGAAGTGAGAAATCAAAGATTTATAACCAAGACTCAAGGTTTGGGTGCACCTCATGAGGTTTGAGTATACCCAAATCCGGGAGAGGATTGATTATTCCATTGGCATCTAGCTTATAAGTAGTAGTTGCAACCTTCTTTATCCAAGCGAGGAAAGTTTCCTAGCCCACATGTGGGTGCTAAAATATCCTCATCCAAGTTTGGGTGCTAAATAATATCTCGTACACTCTCATTACAGAAACGTGACATCACGTTGAAACGAACGTAACAGAATGTCACGTTCTTTAGAGCACTGTGTTACATTCCTTTGGGTGTCAACTGGCCAAAAACCAGCTTGTTCACATTCAAACGAATGTGACATTTTGTCACGTTTGTTTCAACGTGATGTCACGTTCCTGGAATGAGAGTGTAAGAGGTATCGGTCAAGACTATTTCATTTGCAGTGTTCATTCACACGCTCAATTCCTTTGTGCAATTTTAGTACACGTGGTCTCCCACACGTTTCGCACACAAGTACTTCTTGTACAAAATTGTGTCCAATTACGCACGACTGTGTGATTTTGCGAACCAACTTTGTACGAATAAGTTCACATGTTTGAAGTTGTATGTGAGACTACGTACAAAATTGTACTAATACACGTTAGGTGTTTAGTAACGATTTGTAAAAAGTAACATCGGTTCGACCGCATTGGCAGGCCAAGTCGGCAGCTCGCTTGATCTCGAGTACCAAGCAGCCGCTTCGACCAATCCCGAAGATGTGGAGGCTGCCGAGAGAGCCAACACCTTCTCTTACGCCTGGTTCTTCGACCCGGTCACGGTGGGCGACTACCCCGCCGTCATGAGGGAGGTCGTTGACAGGAACAGCTTCGGCAACGGGCTCACGGTGTCCAGGCTGCCCACCTTCACCGCCGAAGAGAAGCGGATTCTCCCAGGTACATAGTGGGCTATCTTTTTTTTTTTAATTTTTACCTGAAATATCTTCATAAGACATTTGGAGTGGCGGCATCCTACCCTCCCTGAGAGGAAAATAACTCCAGCCAAATATGTACACCAAAATTCACTACACTGTAAATGTCTTATGGTGAAAGGCTGCAACACCACATTATGGTGGACATTTTCTCCATAATATGAACAAAATTCCTCAAACTATCTATAATGTACGGTGGATTCTCCATGGTATGTTATGAAGTCAGCTGCACCGCCATAATATGGAACATTTTCACCATAATATGGAACATTTTGACCACAGTCAGAAGAATCTTCACTGTACAACCATTTCGAGGGTACAAATTTAAAATTCATTGATTTTTGTTTTCATTTATCGAAATTTTTCTCAAGATTCAGTAGTTTTTGCCTGAAATTAATCGAAATTCAACTGCGATCAACAGTGTTTTCCCCTTGTCCTGCCCGACAGGGACCGTGGACTTCCTCGGGGTGAACCACTACGGCACCACCACCATAGCGGCGGGCACCGCCACCTCTGCTGTCACCTCCGCCTCCATCACCAACGACACCAACGTCAGCTCCAAGGGCTACTCTCGCGTAAGCATGGCTTCCTGAGTGACGCATCCTTGTTGTGGCGAATAAACCTTTCATACCAAGGTTTCCAACCAAGACCTGGCATCGCTGCCCAGTGGGCCAGTGGACAAGTGGAGATGGTTAAAATCCCAGACGGGCTTCAAGCTCCAGCGGCACTAAATGGGACTCGAACCGAACGTGTGACCCTACCAACACACTCTGCCAATTTTTGGTATTCAAAACTGCTTGCCAAATTTGTGGCAAGCAAACTTACCACCCGATTTGCAGTGCTGTGTATCGACTCTGGAGCTCGAAACACGTCTAGAGTTTTCGCCACCTGCGCAGGTCCACTGCACTGTGGTGGAAAACTTACAAACCATTTTAAGCCTTACAAAGAAAAAAAGGTTGTTATAACAAATTATTCGAGCATACATGAGCTGACGTTACATAATCCCAGAATACTGAACAAGGATTGAAGTGTATGCCGGGTGGTTGATAACGCACTGTGCTTCAGACGGCCCCGTGGGGTCTCAGGGGCGCCCTCAACTGGATCAAGAACAGGTACAACAACTTACCAATCCTGATCTCCGAAAACGGCCACAGCGGTCCCGCGGACGAGGGCCTGAACGATCCCGACCGAGAGCGCTACTACAGCGTAAGTGTACACCCGTGGCATTGCTTCGTTATTCTTCTGCTCGCTGAGTTCAAATTGTCATTGACTTTAAGAAGTCAAATATGGCACAGTAGAGATACAAAGGCGCAATAGTGTACAATGAGGACGGGGACTTTTCATGTTTTTTTTTGGTCAGCAGCATTGATAGATTACATATTACAATGAGAATGTGAAGCTTGACCTTTTTGTAAGGGGGCTCACACGTGTTGAACACTCGGTTGATAACTTCGGTTTCTGTCATTATTTTGACAAGTTTTTTTTTACTTTCTGGGTAGAAATCGAAGTAGAGAGTAAAAAATTGAACAATTTAAAAAAAGGGTGAGTTTGGACCTCTGTTGTAGATTTTATGGTAAGGTCTAAAATTTGCATTCTCGTAAGATTCAGACCGCAATTTTGGTTCGATTTAAAAAAGAATTACTGGAGACTCATTTTTATGGTCACTATAGAATTTACTAGAATTGTGCATCTGAGTTCAGTAGTTTAGAAGGGAAAGAAATCTTCCTTGTAAAACTAAAATTTGTAAAGTTTGTTTCTTAAAACTTATGGTGGAGAAAATATTCATTGTTGGTGCTGCCTTGACATTCAGAGCGCCCACAAATTCATCCTTGGCTAAAATTTGTAAAATTTATTTCTTAAAACTTATTCTGGAGAAAAGCCCCACCGTTGGTGCTGCCTTGACGTAGTAGAGAGAAAAGGTGTGCGCTGGTCGCATATGCCCTTTGCAGGGCCATACTGCTCGCCTCGCAAAACCCCCCAGTGTGTACTGGTCGCCGAGTGCAGGGCAATGAGGCGAGGGCGAGTGAGTGCAGCCTCACTGGCCCACTGCAGGAACTGGTTCTGCTGGCCCGGCCAGCTCGTCGGAGCTCCGAGTCGCCTGCCGTAGCCTAACTGGTTTTGGGTGTCCCTCCCGGGACCAGACTCAGGCGCGCAGAGCCGCCGCGGCATCACCTCGGCGCACCGCCGCTCCACTCCCCTCTCACCTCTATCAGCCTAAAAAGTAGCTGTAATCAAAATGATGCCTGGCAGCGCCGCCGCGATTGACTCCCGGAGGCTGGAGACTGTGTGAGTGTGTGTGTGTGTGTACCTCCAAGCAGGACGGAAGCCCACCCGCGCGAGCGTCAGCTTATTACCCCGCTCCAAAAACCTGGTTCTGCTGGCCCGCCCACTTCGCCGGGCACGACTTCACCTCGCCGCGCCACTCCGCCCCTCTCACCTCATCAAGGAGGGTTACAAAGTAGCAGTTTTCAAATTAATGACTCAAGTCGCCGCCGCAAGCGTCTCCTGGAGGCTGGAGACGTGTGTGTGTGTGTGTGTGTGTGTGTGTGTGTGTGTGTGTGTTTGTGCCCCGCAAACAGGCCCCCCGCTTTGCTGCCCGGGCCAGACCAGCTCGCTGGAGCTCCGCAGAGTCGCGCCTCAGCAATAGACCTTTCCGGGCTAAGCTTCTTGTACAATAACCCAATCTTTGCGCCGCCACACTGTAAGACCCAACCTAGTTGCAGAGAAATGGCATTAAACTTGTTGTTGTTGATACTCCAGATACTCCCGAGTTCAATTCCGTTTCGCCACAAATGAGCTGGATCTTAAAGTGTGGCGGCGCAAAGATCCGAGTGTACTGAACAAGTTGCTTAGCCCGGAAAGGTCTATGAAAAGAAAAGAAGGAAATTTAAGAAAAAATACTAAATAATTTTTCGGCTCCTTTATTCTAACGAGCAACACACGACACTCCTTTAAGTGCAATCGCTCGCCGGAGAGCGGTTCAGTCTTGACTGTGACCGGCGCGTCGGGAAGCCAGCCTCCGCTAGCGAGCGAAGGGGGCGGCTCGTCCAGCGTCGTCGCTTCAGGCTCTTCGCTGTCCACCGGCTCAAGTTTTAGCGGCGCGGCCTCAAACGCGGCAGTGCTCAGCGTCGGCGGCGAAACAGCGCGCTCGGAGCTCTGCGTCGCCGAAACAGCGTGCTCAGAGCTTTGCAGTGCCGACTGCATCGCCGCGCGCATTGATGGCACCACCGTCGCCGACACTGCGGACGTCAAGGCCGCGCACTCACTCTCACCTGTGACAGCGCGCCAGCCGGTCTTGGGGTAGTAGCGTCCTCCAAAAAATCTTCTGCGGGTCCGCACTCCGTCGGTCTGCGTCCCGACAGACGACGCAGATGACTCCGTCTGCGTTGAAACAGCTGGACGGGCTAGCAGCGCGGGCTGGGCGGGACGCTCCAGGTCGAAGGCCCCCTCTGACGCAACGGACTGACTCATGCAGCCCGCGGTGTGGAGTGAGAAAGGCGTGGATGGAGCGGACTGCAGACAGCCTGGCGCAGCGCTGGAAGCCGCTAGGTGGGCTGGCGGCTCGGGCTGGGCAACGTCGACGAAGTTCTCTGGCGTATCAGCTCGGCTCGGCTGACCGGACCGGCCGGCGCGAGCCGCGATGGCCATCGAGGAAATAGGTGATCGAGTGGTCCGCACCCGCGGTGTTACCACAGTCTGCAGCGAGGTGGAGGGCGAGGACGGAGGAGGCGTCACTTCCCGGAGTGCGCAGAGGTCGAGAGGCAGCCTCGCATCTTCTTCGACCTCCGCCAGCATCTGCTTAAAGGAGTAGAGCTGCTCGACCAGCTCCTCCTGCAGAGCGGCAGTCACAGCAGCCATCTCGCGGCATTTTTCGATGCAGGAGACAAGCTTTGCCTGCCGCCGCGTCATTGCTCGGCTAAAAACCAAAACACACGCAAAATGTAGTCGCCGGCTAGCGCAATGTTCTGTACCAGAACAAAATGTCTAGTCCGCAAAATTCACTTAACATACCGTTGATGCAGTGCGAGCCGCATCTTCTTAGTGTGGGGTGAGAGGCAGCGAAAAAACAGCAAAAAGCGAGTGAAGCTCCTCTGACAATGTCCTGACCAATACTGCTTCCAATTTAAAGGAGCCGAGCACGGACATCGCTTAGGCCTCCGCGTCGCCGCTCCACCTCCCCCTCCCCTCTCACCCAAGCCTACAAAGTAGCAGTTTTTTTAAATTAAAGTCTGCCGCCGACACGGGCGAGCACCGCCTGGAGGCTGGGGACTTGTGCGCGTGTGAGTGCGTGTGTGTGTTGCCCGCGGGGCAGAGTCCAGGGCGTCCCCTCTCACCTTATCAGACGCAAAGGAAGCAGCTCTCACCTCGTGCCGCCGCGCTGCCCCACAACTGGTCGCATTAATCTGATCTCCGCAGCGGGGCTGCTGCGCGCGACTGGAGCGAGAAGACGGGTGTGTGTGTGTGTGTGTGTAATTGGTAACAACAGAGTCTCAGCGGCGGGGGACGCGATACATGGAAGATTTTATCGATTTAATCGATGCTGGGCGCAATTAGCAGGCACGTCGCTATCAAATGTTGCAAACCGGCTTCTGGCAGACCCATCGCCTGGTGGACCCTGTCTCATTTATGGTAATTGTCATCCGGCAAATGAGGGCCAGCCGGAGAGAGAGAGAGAGAGAGAGAGAGAGAGAGAGAGAGAGAGAGAGAGAGAGAGAGAGAGAGAGAGAGAGATGCAACAGTCCCCGCATGCAGGCATGCATCCGCATGCAGGCATGCATCTGCATGCCTGAGAGGGAGGGTTGGTATTGGGGAGAGGTGGGTATAAAAACACTCGCGGACCTCACTGCAGTATCACAACCATCTCGTCAGCCCAGCAAGAAGGAGCTCCCTGTGCCCTGATCCAACGCGAATCTCCGAAGAGCTAAGGTAGGCAAAACCATCAGTGCTGTGCATCGTCGCGTGTGTGTTTGGGTGCGCTAGTGCCTCACTCGAGCGGACGTCTCCAGCCGCATGTGTCTGTGTGTGTGTGTGGGTCTCCCCCACGCTGCCGGCCGACTCCATCAGCCACGCGACGACGGGTCATGGGCCGGCGACGCTGTGTTGTGAGCGTGTGTGTGTGTCTGTGTGTGTGTGCGCTAGTGTCTCAGCTGAGCGGACGTGTCTAGTCAGCTGTGTGCGTGTGTGTGCCTGTGCTCGCTCGCCGGCTCCATCAGACGTGCGCCGACGCAGGGGGGCATGGCTGACGTCGTGGAGAGCGTGTGAGTGAGGGACAGACTGCCCCCCCGGTCCAGCGCAGCCAATAAAAAATTAGTTATGGAAGACAGACAAGCTTGTGATAGGCTCAATATCGCCTCCTCGGACGACCACGCCCCGCAGTCGGGCGGAGCTCACTACTCACCTGTGTGTGTGTGTGTGTGTGTGTGTGTGTGTGTGCGCGTGTCTTCGTCTGGCCGGCGCAGCGCGCCCCGCCAATGAAAAAATAGCTATGGGAGTCAGTCCGGTCTGAGCGTGTGTGATAGGTGCTACCTGCTCAGGAGGAGGGCAAACCAGTCTCCACCTGCGTCATTGGCCCCGCCTCTCCTGGCAGCCAGGCCCCCACTGTGTTTCGAGCTGCACTGTCGGAAAACTCACACAGTTTAAATGTTTCAGGTGAAAAAATGGAGGTTTTTAACCGGATTTCGAACGATGTGTCTCGTTTCCTGAAGGCTGGAGAGCTAAAGTTGGGTTTCCCCTACGTCTTCACAGGGGTGCAGAAAGTCAGCACTAAGTTTGGCATGCGGGTAAGTAAAATAAGAAAAAATGATAAATTGTTAAGCGGAGGGTTGCATTATTTTGCTGATCTGATCAATACGGTCTTTGTTTTATAGGTGCGCGTTGACATGGTGGACCACTCGCTACTGGAAAAGAACAGAGTGCATTTCTTTGCGGGAGGGAGATTCAACAACATGACCGACGATGAAATTGCCTCACTTCAAAAACACGGCCCACACAAACAAGTGCTGGTCTATGAGGGCGTGCTGAGCGGAACGTGCGTCTATAATCTGCACAAGGTGGAAAAGTTTGAGAGAGAACTCGCCAGGATTAAGAGAGAGGCCGTGATGCCAACCCCAGAGCCGTACGTCCCCTTCGTACGGGCCGAGCCGAACGAAGCAGCTGCCGCAGCCCCCGCTGCCCCCTCTGCTCCACCGCTACCCGCCGCTTTTGACCCGCAGGCACTGGCTAGTATCATCTCAGCATCTGTTGCTGCAGCAATGTAAGTAACGTTCACTCTCCCTACCTTACTGTAAGCATGGTTTAGACCAAATGAGCACACCTGTCTCACAAACTGCTTTCGCGTCAAAATTTGCAGGAAGAAACGGGAGTTGTCGCCCGAGCCCAGCCCCACTACACCACCTGCTAAGAAGCCTCGCAAGAGTCCCCCAAAGCGAAAACCAGCAGCAAAGAAGGTGACTGAAACATTGTCTCTGGACAGTGACAGCGACACCGAGAATGCGTCTGAAGGCGCGCCTATCGAAACTGCACCTACCGGATCGGGGAAGAAACGTCAGCAAGCCGCCCCAAAGAAAAAGCCATCAGGAAAAAAGGTTGGTTACACGGTGACTCTTGACTGTGAAAGTGACAGCGACATCGCGTCTGAAAATGCAAGCTCCAAGAAGACTCAAGCAAAGAAGAAGCCTGCCACTTGCACCAAAGTTGTCGACTCAGAACATGACACTGACGGTGAACTTGACAACTGGAGTGTGTGACTACAACACGCCCAACAGACAAGTGAGTTTGACGAGGGAAAATCAGTGCGTTGCCCCAGCTGTGCTCAAACTTACAGCTCAAGTCAAGGTTTTAAAAAACATGTAGTAAGATGTCATATTGCAGCTTCTGGATTGGAAGTTGTGCAAGCAGGTGGAGGGTGGAGTGTTGTGAACTCAATGAAAAACTCCATATCGGTCCATACACTTGATCTTGAGTCTGAAGACATGATTGATGACCCCGACTACTTTTTGATTCACAATAGAGATAGTATCAGTAAAATTTTGCAGGAGGAACTCAAAGCGAAAAAGCAGTTTAAATATAAATTGGATATTAATGTGAATTTTTATCGCGAGGTTGATGGAGAGTCTGATTTTGTAGCTGCATGGTTTGGTCCGGCTTATTCGACCGTTCTTCATCTTAAAGACATAGAGCAGAGCCTAGATTTTGTTATTCCTGACGCTCTTGAAAGAGTGAGGGATTATAATACAAATGGAAGCGGATGGCATATTTTCAGCACTCTGAAAATTGTTATCAAAGTTGTTCAGTACAGCCCTCTCTCTGGAGGCTGTATGGGGGATGCCCCCTCTTGGGTTAAAAATTCAAAATCCGTTACTAATATCGTTTGTGCCAAGAACGACTGCTTTCCTATTCATGTGCTTTTTAAGTTGCTCAAGCCTGACAAACATGACAGCCGACGAACCTACAAACAATTAGAAAAGAATATGCATCTACTAGACATGACTAACATTAGCCTGCCAGTGCCTCTTGACCAAATAAACCGATTTGAATCGCAAAACCCCCAGATTTCGGTGAATGTGTACTACTCTGCGACTGTTAAAAGGGATGGATGCTCGATTCCAAAGCTGTACCCCATTAGAGTCTCAAAAAAAGAAGCGTCTATACCAGTTGACCTTCTCATTCTGCCTCACAAGGGAGAAAGGCAAAATTTGGAGAAAATGTTGTTTGATACCGATGTCACTAGTTTTGAAGAGGGGGGCGGTGAGGAAGCCGGCTCATTCCTTACAGATGGCCTTAAGCAACGCAAAAAGACTGGATTTCACTACTGCCTGATAAATAATCTTTCTCGCCTTCTCCGCCCTGCCAAACAAACAAATAGGCGTATCTTCGTCTGTCGAAAGTGTCTCTTAACTTTTAGAAATGAAAACGTGTTTAACACGCATGATTCACTTTGCTCACCTGACAATCCTCAAGTCTGTAACATGCCTAAAGAACACAACAAATTTCTTCAATTTTCCAAGCCAAGTGCACGACTAAAACCATGGTTTACAATTTACGGCGACTTTGAATGCATTCTATCAAAAACGCAGCTTGATGAAAATACGGACATGGGTAAAAGCAGTACTACCACGTTGCAGAATCACACACCTTTCGCCTATGCCTATATTGTCTTAGACCACACCGGGCAAGTTGTTCGCCGCTGCTCCCCCAGAATCTTTCGTGACAGTTTTGCTAACGTTGCTGCAGAGTTTCTCCGTGAAATTGACGAACTTTACTGCAAAGTTCTCCTCCCTAGAATGAAAGAGCGGGGGATTCACATGACAGAGGAAGAGAAACTCAAACACTATGCGGCCACTCATTGCGAAATTTGTGGGAGGCGCTTCAATTCTACTGTTCTCAAAGTGGCGCATCACGATCATAAAACATCAAGGTACTTGGCGACTATTTGTGACAGGGACAATCTTGAAATAAGACAAACCAAGAAAGTACCAGTAATTTTTCACTCTTCAGCTAGTTATGATACGCATCTTTTGATGGGGGGTCTTGCCGAGGTTGCAGATAAGTCTGACAGAATAATGGTCATCCCACGCACTAAAGAGAAGTATGTTGGCTTTTCGTGGAAGTGTTTGACTTTCCTAGACTCTCTGAGCTTTCTTAATTCATCCCTAGACACACTAGCCAAAGGATTAAGTTCATCTGAGCTTCGCTATCTCCATCAGCATTTTAAAGATGATCCGATGCGGGAGATCAAAATTCAGCTGCTGAGCAAAAAAGGTTTTTTCCCCTACTCATTCCTTGACTCTTCCGAACGCCTGTCACTCAAAACCCTCCCGCCCCGCTCTGAATTTTTTAATGATCTCACTCAAGAAGAATTAAGCCCTGAAGATTACGAACATGCTTGTCAGGTCTTCAAGGTGTTCAAATGTCGAAACCTGGGCGACTATGCCGCCGTCTATCTAGCTTGCGATGTGCTTCTTCTAAGCTGTGTGTTTGAAGCGTTTCGCTCCATGGCTTTTGATTGTTACAAAATTGAGCCAACGGCGTTCTATTCCCTCCCCGGCTTTTCCTTGCAAGCCGCTCTGCTCATGTGCAATGCCAAAGTTGAGCTTTTAACTGATAGAGAAATGCTTCTAATGGTTAACGGGGCTATTCGCGGCGGAATGACGGTTTGTTCACACCGTTACAGTAAGGCTAACAATAAGGATCTGGCAGACTTTGACCCTGGAAAACCCTCAACCTATATAACTGCATGGGATGCAAATGGGATGTATGCTTTGGCGCAGAAAGGGGCCCTTCCAACAGGCAATTTTAGGTGGCTTGAGACAGAGGAGCTGGATAACATTGATGTGTTTCAACTATCACCCCTAGATAAAACTGGATATTTTTTTGAAGTTGAATTAACAGTGCCAGATGACCCCGCAATTCATGAATACTTGTCTGATTTTCCCCCTGCTCCAGTTCTGAAAAAAGTTAATATTGACGACCTTTCACCGTATCAGCAAAACCATTGGAACAGGCCGGCTCAGATGCAGGAAAAACTTATTTTGGACTTAACTGATAAACAAAAATATGTGCTGCACTACCTGACACTGCGCTGCTACGCCGAATTAGGCATTAAATTTGTAATCAAACGAGGAATTTCATTTTCTCAAGACAACTGGCTATCCCCATACATTGACTTCAACACTGGCATGCGTCAAAAGGCTACAACATCCTTTGCTAAGTCTCTATTCAAACTTCTTCTAAATTCTCTCTTCGGGAAGTTGATGGAAAGGAAAGAGTTAAGAAGAAGGGTTGTTCTAGCGGTTGGAAAAAAATCTGTTGTGAGATATGCCTCTAAACCGAGTTTCTATGACTTTACGGTTATCAAACCAAATTTTGTTGCAATCGAGCTGAAACAGACGAGTGTCACCCTAGATGTTCCGTTTATCTGCGGCGCGACGGTCCTAGAGATTTCTAAATGTTTTATGTATTCTATGTTCTACAAAGTCATCCGCCCCTCTTTTCAAAATCCCCCTAGACTCCAGTACATGGATACAGATTGTTTCGTTTTATTAATTGAGTCTGATGACCTAATTAAGGAGCTTAAGCCTCTGGCGAAACATATTTTTGATTTTTCAAACCTCTCCCCAAACCACGAGTTGTATGATCGAAGTAATGCTCTTAAGCTTGGCTTGCTAAAGGATGAAGTTGCGGGTCAAACAATTTCAGAGTTTATTGGGCTCAAAAGTAAAATGTATTACATTAAAACATCAGAGTCAGAAAAGAAAATTGGAAAAGGCATTCATAGATCCGCTCTTCGCAGTCAGGTTACCCGTGATCACTACTTTAACGCTGTGTTTAACAAACAATCCTCTCCATATCGGGTACACTTTACAACATTCAAAACAGATGGTAAACACAACATTCAAACAGTGAAGCAGGTAAAGCTTTCTGTTAATAACTACTGCGACAAGCGTAAGTTTGAGGATGATCTTATTCACTGCACTCCATTTGGCTTCAAGGGCGACGCATCTCGCATTAGAATGCCTTGTTTTTAATGTTCTTGAAAGGAACTATGTATTCTCTTTATAAGTACTAACAATTGTTTTTTGTATCACAAGAATGTCTATTAAGTTTACTTACCAATAAAAATTTAAAAAAAAATGCTACTAACGACTTTATGCACCCTTTACTAACCAAATATTGATTTAAATATTAAGAAAACCAAAAACTCTGTATTCCCCAACTCTAGTGTGTTTTCTTCATGGTGTTTGTATTACAGTTATGTATAGTCTGCTTAAAAATAAAAAGTTTTGAAAAAAGTGATCATGTGTTGCAATGAACTTCTTGTCCTCCATCCATTTAACACTTCTGCATCGCGTCGAACAGACCAAGTCCTACTGAGCTCATGAGCTTGCTCAGCGAAGCGGAAACATTTTGCCAACGCCGACGACCGGCTAAAACTTGTTGGCGAGCAGAGGCAAAAAAAAAAAATCTGCAGGTTGAAACAGCTTGCTTTCCTTCGAGGGGTCACAGACCCCTGCTCTCGAAGGTGGACGGTGTTCCCCCTCTCTCCACAAGCAGGCTGAGACCTGTCGCTAGTAAGGCAGGCGCGATACCCCCCCCCCTCCTCCCACCAATAAGAAAAAAAACTGACTCGAGGCCAGCCTTGCTGCAGGTTGAAACTTGTCGGTGCCCGCTGCGCCTGCGACAGGCTGAGACTTGTCGTGGCCAAGCGAGGCAGGGTGGGGGGGCGAATTCGCGCTGCAGGTTAGAACTTGTCTGAGTCTCCCCCACCGTAGCAGAGTTGGGTTCCCTTTCCCCCGCGTCCGCGGTCCAAGGCACCATGTACCCTCGTACGCGGTACCGTGGTACGTGGTACCGTGGTACGTAGTACAAAGTGGAGAGGGAAGGGCGTTTCCTTAGCCTCCCCCACTCCTCGCAAGGTTAGCCGTATATAAAGGCGGAGACACTGCTTCCAGCTCGCAGTCTTGCTACATCAGTGTTCGTGAGAGCTTCTGCTGTCCTTCTGCACCCCTCCTCAGCGCCTCCCCTTCTCTTCGGTTACACGGAAAATAAGAGGTAAGTCATGGCAGAGGATCCATGCTCTATACTTAAGCTGCGCACGCCATGTGGGATTGTCGTTGCGGGTAGCTCGGGAAGCGGCAAAAGCACGTTTATAAAAAAGGTGTTTAAACACATGAAATGCCTTTTTGACACTGAGTTTGCATCCATTCTTTGGTGTTATGGCGAAGAAGCCGCTATCCCAAGTGATCTAGAAACGCATGGAATACCTTTCCGAACATATTCAGGGGTCCCAAAAGAGTGGAATCTGACTGAGTTAGGCATTACCTCCCCCGCTCTAGTGGTCATGGAAGACCTGATTGAACAGGCTTACGATTCGCAGTCTGTGGCTGAGTTGTTTACAAAGAAGATCCACCACTTGAATTTGACTTGTCTGTTCTCAACTCAAAATTTTTTCTATCAGTCTAAATTTAGCAGAACAATAAGCTTGAACGCAAGTTATATTGTTTTAATGAGAAACGTGCGTGATCAATCCCAGTTCGCGCATTTGGCGCGTCAGATCGAACCCCAATATTCGAAGCAGCTTGTAAAGGCTTACAATGAAGCCATACAAGAAAAATTCTCATACTTTCTTATTGATTTGCACCCGCAATCTGAGGATGCAGTAAGGTATAGGACGTGTATATTTCCCACAGATTTTCCGCAAAGCCCCTGTGCGTTTTGGACTACACGAGAGCGCCTTGATCGCTTGAGAAACGATGGCGAACAAAAGGTTAATTTCGCATCGTCACATGATTGATGTACTTGCGACGGCGACTCCGAAAATGAGAAAAGCCATACTTCAGCAGGCAGACAAACCCCTAATTCAGACTCTTACCGAATCAGTGTGTAACGTTACATCTGGAAACATTCCCATAAAACCCTGCGTGCGTAAAAAGCTTAAAAAATACAAGGGTCCACTTCGATCAATAGCCTGCCCTCAATCACGATGGAGAGCTAAGAGAAAAGTATTTGTGCAAAAAGGGGGATTTTTACCACTGCTTCTTCCTGTCGTTTCAGCCGCCCTCTCTGGTCTCGTTACACGCTTGCTCTCAAAATGAGTAAAATGTCCAAGATGATTATTCTTACCCCAGAGCAGTTTGCTAAACTTTTGAAAGGGAGTGCGAAAATCAATGAAACTCAGCAAAAAGTAGAAAGTGATCTGTCCAATTATGTTAAAAGCTTAGGCAAAGGGTCGCCAAAGCCCGAACAATTTGATCGGTTTCAAAACCTCTTCAACAGATTTTTGTCTGATCAGCGAAAAATACGTGAGCCAGTAAAAATCCCAATTCATGATGAGGATGAAGAGGATCTGGGACAGGGGGAAGGAGGGCTCAGTTTTAAGAGAGGTGATGATGGTTTTGGAAGTGTATTAAACCGACAAACTTACGATGAACTGTCTCCGCTCCCCTCATTTAGAGGCTTCAGGACGGCCAAAAGAAGGAAACCCTCTTCCGCATCAACGCCTAGGCCTAAGTTAAAGAGAAAATCATCTGAAGTGACTCCTGATAAGAACTTGTTGGAAAAAAGCAGAAAGTTAAGATGGCGAACCGAAGACGTAAAATAACTGATGAACAGAAACTAAAACGGATATACTACAACCCAAAACATTCGGCTTCTTTTTCGTCCAGAGCGCGACTTGCAAAAGCAGCTGGAGTCTCTAAGAAAAAAGCGAAACAGTGGCTTTTGGGCGAAGAAGTTTACACGACTCATACGCCGGCCCGAAAAAACAGCAAAAACGTGGGGTTTTATAACGTCTACCGCCCCAACCAGCTCTGGCAGGTGGATTTATCCGATTTGAGTCTTCTGGTCAAGTCCAACCACCCGTATCGCTACATGCTTGTAGTAATTGACGTGTTCACAAAGCAAGCGCAGGCGAGAGCCATGAAAACAAAGGATAGCGTGGAGGCCTCAAAAGCATTTAAGGAAATTTTGGACGACAGTGAAGTAACGCCAAAAATATTGCAGGCGGATGCTGGAGGCGAGTTCCTCGGCCGCCCCTTTCAGACGCTTCTCAAGAAAAATAATATTTTATTTCGAATTGCTGCCAATCGCCACAAAGCTGCAGTTGTAGAGCGTGTACAGAGAACTTTAAAATCAAAATTATATAGGGTTATGGCCTGGAAGGAGACTGAAAAATGGACCGACCTTATCCCTCTTGTCATATATGCCTACAATAATTCCCCTCACAGCTCTTTGGGAAACCTTGCACCGAATCAAGTGAATGAAAAGAACTCGTATGCTGTGTGGAAAAATAATTATCTTACTCGCATGCGTGAAAGGAGCTTGTTCACTAAACCCAAATTTTTTAAGAATGACTTTGTGCGAGTGAGCAAGCATAAAAAGACTTTTGAAAAAGGTTACACTCAGTCCTTTAGCGGAGAGGTTTATAAAATAAAGGATGTTGTGAAGAAAAACGGCGTGTTCATGTATGAGCTTCAGTCGCTAGTGGGAGATGTTCTGAAAGGATTGTTTTACACCCATGAGCTACAGCGTGTATATTACAGCCCTGAGAACACTTTTAAAATAGAGACAATTTTGGATCGCAGGAAGCGTGAAGGCGGTCAGCTGGAGTATTACGTTAAGTGGAAAGATTGGCACGCCAGCCACAACAGTTGGATCCCCGCAAGCTGGATGACCAGCGCACATGGACGGTGAGCGAAAACCCTTTAGAGTGTACCTATCTAGCGACTCTTCGAAAGATTACCATCCCCATAACACAAGAGCAAGCTTTGGAGTCCATCTTTCCGAGACCATAAAGCTGCGCGGAGAGTACGAGGTTGCCATCAGTCAAGTAATAGCAACAAACGCTGCATCTGTGGAAGAGTCTCCAGTCTTCATTTATTCGAGCATTTCAACAAAAATATATCTTGCTGATAGTAGAGCGCGCTGCCTGCGCATTCTTCCACCTTTAAGTTCGTCTGCTGTTAACAGTTTTGAGTTTGATCAGTTTAACTACGAGGCGGTAGAGTTCCCCGAGTTTCAAGACATCTACATCAATTTAAAAAATAGGAACGGTGAGGCGTACAACCTCAATTCTACAGGACCACCAACCATCATAACTCTGCATTTTAGGCCTGCCCGCCATGATTAAAGACGGATTTTTTGTCTGCTTGTCAAGCGCTGCTTCCAAGCAGTCGCATTTTCCGGCAAATAGCGCCGGAGATTTTACGAATGAGCTAGCTCTTCCGCTCGATTTGGATGACTCCAAGAACTGGGAAATGGGGTTGTGTCAGATAAAACTGCCCTTTGTGGGCAGAAATCAACTTTCTGCAAAATTGCTGGAGGAAGTCGCAGTAGCGCGAGATGATGCTGAAACGACGCTTAAGTTTGCGGAGGAGCTGACGCGAGACGCGCAGCAGCTGAAGCTTGCCGCGGCTGAAGAGTTAAAAAAAGTACTGGCTGAAAAGGCCTATGTTGAGGCTGAGCGCACTAAAAACGAGGCAGTAAGAGACGAACTTGCGTCCATTAAAGAGAGAATTGAGCGTGACAGGGAGCTTTTGCATTATCTCAACATTGACCTAAATGGTAGACAGCAGCAGGAAGCGCGAACAGCGGAGGAACACGATAGACAGAGAAAAGAGATCGTCGATGGGCTGGAGCGGCTAAAGCAACGTGCGAATGAGCAGGGCGAAGTGGAAGATTCGCAAAGGCGAGCGTTGGAGGATCAGCTCAAGGATTTGACAAAGCGAGAGGAAATTCTTCGTAGGGAAATGGAGCAGTCCGCGAGTCAGGCAACTTCTCTTCAAAAAACGAGAGATCAGCTTAATCTGGAAAATCGAGAAGCACAGGACAACATTCAAAAAGCTCAGAGACTGAAAGAAGAGCTTGAACTGCGTTATGAAACTTTCATTAAAATGCAAGAGTCATTCCAAAACATTATACGTGATTTTCAAAGCGCCAAAAAGTCAATTCCCTGCGTTCCTCCAGTTTCTAGGCGAACTGACGCGGATCACAATACAGTTTTGTTTGACTCCTTCAGCAAACATCCAATAAATTTTCCTGTCAAGGACTACAAATCTGTAGAAGCTCTTTTCAGCGGCATCCACTCCAGCCTCCCTACTGTGTGGCGTTTGGTGTTTGCTCTTGAGCTTAGAAAGGAAGCTCACAAGATTATAGCTTCTTATCCTGATAGAGGCTTAGTGACAACCTATCAGGCCTGTACAACCTATGCGCATGACCGTGCGGTCAATAGGTTAAACGGCTACCAATACGCCATCTGTTTCAAGCATAGAAACTACAACAGTCTTGAAGATCT